GGGGGGGGGGGGGGGGGGGTACCCTTTTTTTTTCCCCGCGGGTTTGTGGGGCATATGGCCCCCCTTCCCCCAAAAACCGGGAGGGGGGACCCGGGGTTTTTCCCGGGAAACAGTTCTTCCCCCAAGGGGGGGGGGGGGGGGGGGGTACTAATATTGGGGCATCCGGTGGTGGTAAAACCATTGCCCTCGCACCCCTCAAAACCCGGGGGGGGGGGGGGGGGGGGCATGCGGGCGACGAAACACGTCACCATCGGGACACCTGTGAGAGAAAGCTGCACACTAACGCCCCAAAAAAATCTCTTCGGACACCCACACACAAAGCTCCGGCGCCTCTCCTATCGGTGTAACCCTTTGATCAGAAAAGAGTGTACTCGCATTTCATCCTGCTTCAAGATTGAGGTATTTCCATTGGTCAGCCGGTTGGCGCGGTGGATGCTCATTCAAACACACACACACACACACACACGATCCCAGGGCTATTCGCGCCACACGGTGGGACCCACCCACAGAGGAGTGCCATCCACCGCATGCTTAATCCACCGCATGCTTATTCCGCCCCGACCTTAACGGTTACTGATCTGCTCCACAACCCTACAGAATTTCCATCGCGACCGAGTTTTACGCCATCCTTCAGGCATAAAACCCTGGCTGCATGTTGATTTTGGACGTTCGCTATTCGCCCAACTCCCATCGGTCAACACTAAGCTCCGACCTACAGCAGTAGGTGACGTACGAAATCACCCCCCCCTGGACCAATTTTCAAAGCTCGACTGCTCCACGGGCAAGAAGACCTACGAATCAAACGAAATGTTTTCGGAAAGCTCTCGAGACGGTCCGACGGTTTCAATACTTGCCACCGCCGCTCCTAATGCTGTGGCGTAATCGAGCTTCGAAAGTGACAGTGCGTCATCTATGGTACTCAATACTCACGAGGACGAGCTCTTCGCCATCCTCAAGGCAGCAGCCGTCTTCCCCCAGCGTCGGCTCGGGGAAACACAGGAAGCCCCCGGCGGCGCCCTCCGCGCACAGAAGCCCGGGGATAGCGTGGGCGGCCCTCGGGTTGCTCGACGTTCTCCCGGTCGTCATCTCCGCTAGGGTTACCGCCGAAGCTGCTGCCCTTCCGGCGCCCTCTTCGTGCCGCATCAGGACTTGTCCCTGAGGCAGGGAGCACGGCTCGTTGTTGTTGTTGTCGTCGGCAGCAACGCCTTTTGCGCTCCCCTGGCCATCACCAACCACACCTTGTTTTCGGATGTTGCGCGATCGATGCGAAGAGCGTGGGGGGGCACGGTGGAATCGGTCCCATAGGGGGCGTACGCTACATACAATATTGACAAAAAAAACGGGCAGAGTCGCCCGGTGTCTCGAACTGTACATCGCACACGTGTTGCTCTTCTCAGGTGGTGCTGGTGTGGTCCACCAACAGCGCCTCCTGCCATGTAGTGAAACCGTCGGGGGAGATCGGCAATTAACGCACGATTATAGGCCCATCGAAAAATGGGCATCTCCTTCGAGGATGTCCGAAACATAAACGTCCGGATTTGTACACTAGGGGGGCCTCAGAGTAATGTAACCACAGCGGGCGCCCGGCGCTATTGAGGATATAGTCGTACACAAGCTAGAGAGAAGAGCTTGCGAGGTTGGTGAAAGGCGGTTGGCGTGTGTCGTGGTTCCTCTCATCTTAGTTACCCGATTTCACCGGCACCATGGCGGGCACTAGGCTCTGTGGAGGGCCTCCGCCAACCACATGAGCGTGCATAAGATATTTCTCGCTTAGATTACATATCGACGATGTCGCCCTGGACATTATTTTCACCTCCTGGGCCAGAGCCTTCGGCCGCCGCGGCTGCTGCCGCTGCCACGACCGCTGCAGCCGTAGCCGCTTTGTCAGCCTCCGCATCAGCGCACGATCCTGATTGGTCGGCTTGAGCTGCGACGTTGGCGACGGTAGCGGAACTCGCGGCTCTGGCTGCGCGGCTAACCATGCCCCACAGGTCCCTCACCGTCTGCGTGGGGCCAACCGTCAACGGAACCTACAATCGCCGAAGGGTAGGAGCAAGACCCCGAAGACACGGAGACGCTCAGATCATCGTGTGGCGCTTCGCAACGATGTTGTTGGGGTCTCAATTCATGAAACGATCGACGTGATTGGCCGGGTGTCAAGAAATATCTTCAAAAACAAAGCCTCCGAGAGTGGTGGACGAAAACCCGACGGGTCAAACCCAGGCTTAGGATGCGATGTTTGTGCAATGGGGGAAAGACGGGAACAGAGCGCAAGGAAAAACACCGGCTGCTACCGCCCGTCGTATAAAGCAAATTCCCACACGTCCTATGCTCATTCCGAAACCTCATGGTAAGTATACACACATACACACCGGGCGAGCCAGACGCTAGAAGCATGGTAGCGTGTTTTATCGCCGTGCATAGTACTGACGTCTTATCATTGGCCAGCCGATGCCTACATACATCAATAACCCCGCATAAACAGACCGACACAAAGATACACGTCTCACCGTGATGTTGGGTGCAACCGTGACCTTGATGTTGATGAGAGCCTCAGACCCAGAGGCGACGGAGGCGGGGTTCGTGTCCGCAGTGAGGGCGACGCCTTCAGCTTTCGCGATCGCGCGCTGTGCGGTGGGTGAAAAAGGCGGCAGGATTGTCGGAAGTGCGCGCACCCCCCTGCCGACAATACTCTGATCGCGCACAGCAGTAGTGCGTGACGAGTGCCCCGCGGCAGCTTGATTCTACACCGGAGCTTACACGGGTTTGGAGGAGGCATGTGGGGAAAGAAAATGCAGATGAACCTAGGAGAGGGAACGCGGGACACGGACCGTGATGTGGGTCGCGACAGAAAAATGCCAACGTTAACCGCACAAGATATTGCGAGGGAACAACGGTGTACAGCGGCGATCCTTATGCATCGACACGGTGGCGACTGGGCGTCCCCCTTGCTTGAGGTGGTGAAGAAATAGAGCCGTTGCTGAAGGTCCCGCGAAGTAAATCGCGTCTGCCAAGCTCGGCGATGTCTCCCACGCTCCAAATGCTCAGCGAGCAACCCAAACATATCGTAAACGTAATACTAAGCCAATAACCAACAACGTTAAGAAAGGGACACCCGACGACTCACACGGAGGCCGCATTCAAGTCGGAACGAACAAGTTGCCAAGGCTATAGCGCACTCCACACTGCAGCTAAGCTTGCTGTTGTCGAGATCGATTCTGGGTTTCATCTACCGGAACCCACGTACGCTGAACGTGAGGAATTGAAAAATTTCCGCCTACCCCGTCAAAACTAACGACATAAACACCGAAGGAGCACCACCACAGCAAACCTTGAGGTCTTTCAGGGCCCAGGCTGTGGACACTTTCACCGCTCCCTCACGGGGCCCCCTTCTGTCCCGGCCGCTGCCGTCCGGACGAGGCATGCCGGCCACGGTGTAGGAGATCTTGTGGGTCAACTCCTGTTCTCCTTCACCGTTTCTGAGAGTGGGAGAACCTGCTCCGCTGTTTTCTTTTGTCGGCGCAGGAGAAAGATATGCGGCCCCTCCGGCTGCTGCCAGTGTGGTGGCGGCTGCGGCGGTGGGAGAACGAACGGCAACAAATGAACGTCAAAATGGATGAAAAGAATCACTGTAGCTGCGGGTAATTGACTGCCAGACAACTAATGTATGAGAAACGTGCGCAACAAGTTCGCCTACAAACAACTATTTTGAGAAACCTGTGCAACAAACGTAAACGTGGGAGCAAACGCACGGGTGTCCTATCGATTCGGAAACTGTGTTTGTAGTCAAAAATTATCCGCACTTACTGAACTTGATATTATCTCAGATCTGTGCCATCGATTCGACGCTTGTGCGGATATCGAATTAGATGTTGGTTCTGCTTTTTAAGCGCACACCCTTTGTGCAGTAACTCCAACATGTGCGATACAGCAGTATCAAATCACAGAGCAGGAGGCGAAGAAACATCGATAGTTTAACGCTCTAGACCAGAAGGATGCGTCGTTTTTTTGCTGTCAGCCGTACCAGAGAGGACGGCGAGAGGGAAAGAGATGGGAGAAGGTAGCAGAAGGTTCGTTCCTTGATGGTATTGCGTATGCATAGGTCGAATGAGACATTCAAATCGAGGCAGTGCGCAAAGGCCGAAGAGCGATGAGTTGGCTCGTTGAAAAGGACCCCGTCTGCCTCCCAGTTTTTTTATTCGTGGCGTAGGTTTGGGGTAGGGACCACGTTGCGCCACGTCGAAGTATTTTGTACTTCGTTGCCCTTTCCCGATTCCAACGACTTCCTATTTATGTGTATGCACTGCCACACTACAGCAATTGATGTTGTGACAGCAGCTGGCATGAAGCCTATGGGTGGTGTGTGCGTGTATTGTGTTTCTTCCATTCATGTGGAGATGGGTGTGGTTCACCACGACGCTGTCAGGGTCCGGATTTCTCCCCTCTGCTCCTGTGCTGTACAACGATAGGTGAAGCTGCGCCCAGCGCTTCTATTCTTGGCTAAGTGCACAGGTAGCTTATCGCACCCGCAGGCAACAAGAAAAGCCTGACCAACAAGTTGAATCCCGATCACCTCTTGGGCGGAGAACCTCCACGAGTACTACGTCAACAACCAACAACCTGATGAAAATCTGTACAACTATGCGTTGTCCAGTACACGTTGACGTTGATCACAGGTGCGCGTTTCTCGTTAACGTTGATCTGTGCCACTTCCGATCGCCGCACAAAAACATGTAGAAGTATGTCTCACGTGATCTGCGTCATCTTCTTCGTTCTATCACGTCGTGCTGCCATTAAAAAAGCAGCATCGGTTACAGCAGAATGAATACCCTCACTCGTATTTGTTGTCTCTTGGTTGGGTGTGGTTCACTGGGCTCTTCGAGTTAAAACACGTCAGATGTTCGAGCTGTTGGAGGTTTGGAACGTCACGACTAGCAGCTGGAGGCCAGCTGTGGGCTGTCCTGCTGTCTGCCTTCATTTTTCATCTTGAAGCACCCCTAGATGTTCCTGGCCTGGGTGGAAAGTGCTAGTTCGTGCGTACACAGAGGAAAAAGCGTGCTGAACTCTTCTCGCATCAAAAATCGAAGGCAAAGTACGGCAGGAGGGGTGGGTAGGCGGCCTCAGGGAGAGGAACCCTTCACACCCTGTACAACTACTTTAGGTGGTAGTTGTTTGCCAGACACCTACTCTTCCAGGAGGGTGCGCACCTAGTTGGCTGCAGACACCTACTCTTTCAGGAGGGTGCGCACCTAGTTGGCTGCAGACACCTACTCCTTCAGGAGTGTGCGCACCTAGTTGGCTGTAGATGACTACTCTTTCAGGAGCGTGCGCACCTAGTTGGCTGCAGACACGTACTCTTTCAGGAGAGTGCGCACCTAGTTGGCTGTAGATGACTACTCTTTCAGGGGCGTGCGCACCTAGTTGGCTGTAGATGACTACTCTTTCAGGAGCGTGCGCACCTAGTTGGCTGTAGATGACTACTCTTTCAGGGGCGTGCGCACCTAGTTGGCTGAGGACACCTACTGGTTCAGATTTGTGCGCACCTAGTTGGCTGTAGATGACTACTAGTCCAGAATCGTGCGCACCTAGGTGTTTACGAACAACTAGCCGGTGGTTGTCTGTCTAACAACTAACTTAGCTGGCTTATTAGTTAGAGTTGATAGTCTGTCCTGGAATTACAAGGAGAACGCATTAACAGTGGTAGTAGCAGTGAGAGGTTGTTTCTGCGCAGAAAGGGGTGCAGACAAGGAAGGTCAGCCAAACCTTACACCTTGTGAACCTTTATCGATCTATTCCTGGTGAAACGAACCACAATACACGCAAGCATGCTGTGTGATGATCCGCGAGCATGACACGCCAACCTAGCCAGATGGCCAGGAGCTCTCTCCTATGCGAGGGAGACCTGCCAAACAACATCCGCGTATTATACTGGGTCGTGAAAAAAACTAATTGAACATGCATCATCGACCGTCACTGCCTCTTCTTCCGACGAACCAATCCCTCCGTCTGTTTGCTGGCCACCATCTGCTGGTGGTGCTGGTGGTGCTGGCGTAGGGTCGGTTGGTGGAACAGCCGCCGCCATGCGCCGCCATGTGGTGCGCTTGTTCGCTCGTCGGGTGGTGTGTGAGAGAGTGCGTGGTGTGCGGTGGTAGTCTACTGCGCCGGCAGCTGTTCTGTATTGACTGTTGACACCTGCCCATCCGTGTGTATCTGTGGGTGCGACTGCGTGGTCTGCAGTAGTCCCCTGCTGCGCCGGCAGCTAACTGTTCTATTTTGACATCTGCCCGTGTCTGTCTATGTTTGGGTGTTAGTGTGTGCGATTCTGTGGTTGACAATTGCCCGGGCAACAAACAACGTGAACATGTTCTATATTGACAACTGCCCAGGCACCTAGTTGGCTGCAGACACCTACTCTTCCAGGACGGTCCGCACCTAGTTGGCTGCGGACACCTACTCTTCCAGGAGGGTGCGCACCTAGTTGGCTGCAGACACCTACTCTTCTAGGAGGGTGCGCACCTGGTTGGCTGCAGACACCTACTCTTCCAGGAGGGTGCGCACCTAGTTGGCTGCAGACACCTACTCTTTCAGGAGCGTGCGCACCTAGTTGGCTGCAGACACCTACTCTTCCAGGAGTGTGCGCACCAAGTTGGCTGTAGATGACTACTCTTTCAGGAGCGTGCGCACCTAGTTGGCTGTAGATGACTCCTAATCCAGGAGCGTGCGCACCTAGTTGGCTGTAGATGACTACTCTTTCAGGAGCGCGCGCACCTAGGTGTTTACGAACAACTAGCCGATAGTTGTCTGGCAAACAACTAACTTAGTTAGTTATTAGTTAAAGTTGTACAGGGTGTGGAACCCTTCTGTGTGACCACGGGTTGGAGTAAACGGCACAAGTGCGGTGAGCGCTGATTTGACGTGAAGACCAAAAAAAAACTAGATGACTCTATGTTCTCATGAGCCCACTCCCGCGGGACTACTACATCACATTTTTTAGTCACGTCTGGGTGGCATGGGAAAGGCTATTGTAACGGTAAGGTAGTGGAAGGGAATAGGCAACACGGATTGCGGATGTCCAAGCATACACATGACCTCTGATCTCCACACAAAACACAAATACACACATTCTTCTCAAACACAGAGAGAAACCCGCCACACCCTCATGCCCTGCCGGCCTATCGTCTGCTCAAAATTCACGAGTACCACCACGAGCGTAGACAAAGCCGCCCCAGAGTACTCTCTCGCAACCAACACCGCGCTAGCACCCAGTACAGGCTGTACCTTCCGCTGTCTGCCACACATGGTGAAAAGCAATGTCATTTTCCCTCGTTGGGAACCCAATTCCTGGTTTGACACAACGCTCTTATCAATCTGCACCCCCTCTATCCAAAACGGGTACGCAAATATGCACATAAAAAGCCCGGTCTCCGGCGTCTCGCCGCGCCGCCCTTATCCCTCGCTTTCGTCGTCGTTGGTAAGGTCCACCGGGCCGAACTCGCCATCAAGCGCGTGCAGCTCCAGCATGGGGTTGGACAACCGCCCGGGAATCTTGGTTTGGACTCCGTTAACTCCGTCGGCTGGCAGCTCTGGGATGATCTCCGGAAGGAGGTCCACGTTACCGTGCAGAAAGAGGACCATCTCCACGTACTTGGCATCACCGGTGCTCCTCGATGACGTCATCATGCGCCCAGCGGAACCTAAATCGCGCTCCTGCACCATCACCGACGCGGGGGCGGCGAAGACGACGCGCGCTACCCTAGCCAGGAGTGGGTACGAGTGCTCCTTTCTCTTCCACCAGTTGAGCACGCCCTCGCAGCTCGTGTCGCCGAACAGTGCATCGTCGCTTGCGCTTCTCAGCGTCTCGAGCTCGGCGCGAGCGCGCTCTATAGGCGACGCGCTCGTCCCCTCATCCCTGGTCGCGATGAGTCCGAGGCCTGCCATAATCGCAGTGGTCGTCGCCTCCTTGTGGTATCGGGCGCTGGCGAACATTGGGTACGTGTTGCCGGGAGCAGACGCCTGGGGCGCCCGCTTCGCGGCCGGCTCGCCCTGCTCCGCTTCAATCCCCTTGCGTTCTGCCTTCTTGTCCGCCAGCTTCGCAGCCAAGGCAATGATCTTGTCGGTGATGTTCTTCTTGACGACCGCGGCATGCCCTTCCGTCGGGGCGAGCCTGCTAACGTACTGGAGGTCGGCCGTGCACGGGTGCAGCCCCATCTGCATGTCGAACACCAAGCCCGTGCTCTTGGCCACGGTTGACTTATAACGCTTGTCGAAGTCCCGCCAGTGCAGGGCCGAAGCGAGGTGTTCGCGAGCCTCGCGACCCACTCGGGTCAGGTCCTTGTGCGCCCTTGCGGTCGTTCGTTGCTCGCCGCCAGCGCCCTCCGTCGCACCCTGTGTCGGCTTGCTCGCCGGGGTAAGGATGTCGAGCGGGGCGTCGGCGTTCAAGGTGCTGAGCTTGAGTGCCGCCAGGCCGAGCACAGCAGCTTGCCCCGTGGGGAAGTGGGTTTGCTGGCACGTAGCGATGACCTCCGCAACCGGCTGGATGAGGGAATACAGCTCGTCGATCTCGTGCACATGCGGCGACAGCGGGCTGTCCTCCCCTTCCTCGGCGTACACCCCGTTGATGGCAGCGCGGTTGGTGACGGTTGCCTCGAGGGCGCCGGTCACACCAGACCACCGCTGCGGTGCCGCGTTGACCACCTTGCGGTTCGAGCACTGCGAGAACTGAATAACTTGCTCCTCCGTAAAGATATCCTGTTTTGAGTGTGGGGGGGGGGGGGCGGTGGGATCTTCATCCGTAAGGGACGTAAAATGTAACACGCAAACGACGACTCAATGCAACGCACATGCGGACCCAACCAGGCGCAGATGCCATGACTTCCCATCACAGGAGACGCTGTAGAGGAGTCTCTACCCCTCGCTCATTCCAGGTGTACTTCACCCTGTGATATGTACCAAGACACAACCAGACGCACAAGGAGAAAAACAATCATGAACGTTACATTCACCTTTGAAGCGGGAGACTTGCGAACGCGCTCCACGGCTTTCTTCACCGCCATGACCACGTTGCGTGCGGCACGACCGCCCGGCTGTTGTGGGCCCACGCAAGTACCGACGGCCTGCGGTTTCAATGTGCAAACGCGACCCACAAAATGTAAAAATAATATATTTGAACATTCATATCAAAGTGCGCAAATTTGCGTTTGACTCGGCCGGGTGGGCGGGTCGTCCAACACGATGCAAAAATATGCCCAAGAGCAAACTCTAGCGGGGGTGTGTCATGAAAAAGAGAAGGTGCCGCGACGGGAAACGCCCCCTTAGGGGAGGGGGGGAAATCTGCGCTGTTCACGCTCTGCAGGGCTTCACCCTAGCAGGAGGGGGGGAGTGTTTCTTTCACCATGTGTTAAACCCTGGGGAAAATCAAAATAACCACCCAAACCCTGGGCCAGTCTCCGCGAGGGGAAAATGCTTTTCATCCAAGAGAAAATAGCAAAGCAAAGAGCATGGGAGGATTTTGGAACAGTTACCGACGGCGGCAATCTCCCCGCGAAACGCAAGCCGTTGCGCCGCACGACCATCGTTGGTTGCACTAGTACAAGACACGCGACTGACTATGCTCATATACAACTCGGAGGAGTACAAGCATTTCCTGCTCAAGCAAGAGAGCTGTTGTTGTGCGCAGCCTCAAAGACGCGCACCTCGGCCAGAGAATCGCTGAGCATGTGGCACACGCACCACTCCCGTAGCCCCGGGAGCAGCACACTGCACAGGCGCTTGACGTCGCCGCCGGCATCGCTTGTTGCTGAGAACAGCAGCGACGCGTCGATGCCGAACTCCTCGAGCACGGCGAAGACGTACTTCTCGAGGAGCTCAGAGAGACGTTCATTCTTGAGCGTCTCCGGCGTAGGGTTGAACTGCCGAACGGCGAGGAGGTAGGACTTCAGTTGCCAGACAGAGTTGACGTAGAAAAACCGAACACCTGCAATCGATTGAAAGCGAAGACGTTCAAACGTTGTTCATTAGTTCAATGAGAGTGAACGGTGTCATCGGGAACACCGGCCAACTAAATAATTACAGCTCGGCGGAAATACATGTACACATTGGGTTTCTTTCGTATCAACACTTGAAAACAGCGACGAGACCAAACGGGGAGGGGCATCGCTACCTCAGGTATCGTGACACACGCTAGGGCAAGATAGACCGCTACAGCGATATCGGTCACCCTCTGCTGCTCACCCATGTATTTCAAGCTCGATGACTTGTCAACCCACAGTTCGAGGCTGAGGTGCAGACACGGCACGCCCGCCACCTCAGTGGCCATCTCCTCCTTGAATTGGGCAGCGGTAGCGGCATAGCACTCGACCACCATCCTCTTCACTTCTTGCTTGCGGATGCGGCTGGGGGCGAAGCTTCGAGCGGACAGCAGCACGCTTGTCTTCACTCCCTCGGTCTCGCCGAGCGTTAGAGGCGAGCAACACTCGATCACGTGCCGCTGGACCCATTCCAACGCCCGAGACAGCTCGTTGTCGAAAAATCTGGTGAACGGGCTGGGCTTTTGCACACACAGGTCTGCCATCGCCTGAGCGGATATAACGTTCGTAGAGGCCCCTGCGAACCGTTTCGGGTTGTGGCGAGAGGCATGAAATCTGAGTTTTAAAACATTGTGAGGCGGGAGGTACTTCAGTATCAATGCTTTTGGATGTTGATAAAAGATACCTTTAATGTACACAGCACACATTTTGGTCCGAAAAACGATTTACACCCACGCCGTCCGCATGCATGTCTTGCCAAGAACAAAAGAGAAGCAAAAACGCAAAAAGTAGTTTGACCCAAAAGTAACAACCACATGCTTCCGGTACTAGGCTTGTGGTCTGACAAACACTTGAGACAAAACCTACCAAACACAAGGCACAGAATAAACTTCTAACGTAGCTTGCATTCGATATCGGCAATCATGAAAAGGGTGGAGTCCCTATTGACAAGAAAGAACGGGAGCAGGGGAAGGGAGAACTCGACGCTGTAGGTGCGTGTGTGTATGTATGCGAGAGGCAAAGACGGCGAGGATTTTTTTACCTCAAAACACACCTGACACCCGAACCAGGATACACACGGGTTCGACGCTGAGCACAAGCGAGAGGCTTTCGTTGTTTCGAACGGCGGACATACAGGCTTATCCTCGTCTGCTTGTTGTTGCTTTCTGCTGTGCAAGCGCCTTACATGTAAGCTACGGCTCATGACTATATTTCAGTCAAATCCCTTACTCCAAGGATGACCGTAGAAATTCCATAGCAAACATCCATGAACAAAAACCCAACTGCCTAAAAGGACCGGCTGAATTTTCGATTTGCGCTGGTATTTCACTGCTCACCTGCGCCGTGCTTGTGCTTCACGTGGTCCAGGGCGTTCGACCCCGTTCGCTTGGAGATGGCAATAAACACACCGTTCTTGCTTCTGGCCCTGCACACCGTACTGCCAAAGCAAGCGAAGGCCCATTTGCCTCTCGAACGGTCCTTCAACTTTACTCCGTAGTTCCAGATCGGTGAGGAGGCGCGAGCGGGTTTCGGAACAAGCTCGTGAGACGCCGGAGCCTCGAACTCCTTCATCGCAGCCAAGGTAGCCTCAGCCTCCTTTGCGTTCAGGTTTTAGTGAAAAGAAATGCGTCGAAGTCAGCGTTTGGCGTTCCGATGTCGCTCGGCGAATGAGGGCTTGGGGATTCGTACGAAACTAGCCGAAACCACGAAGAGGGCACACCCTACCGCTAGTTTAGAAAAATCCCCGAAGAAGAACAACACACATTAGGGGCACTGTTCGCCTGGCAGCTAAGTTGTGAGAATAATCCCAAGGCTTAACAACAAAGCGAAAAAAACACTCAAGGGTCCAGCTCGGAGTGCGCTGCACTGCCACCCACGGGGACCACACAGCAGTCACGAGTTCGTTCTTGGCGTAATTAGCACAGCGCACCTCGTTGGCTGCTGTCTCGCCACGGGGGACTGTCACTGCAGCCGCTGCTGACGGAACGACGGCTCCGTCTGTTTGCTGGCCATCAGCTGGTGTTATGACAGCAGCAGCTGACGTGTAACCCGTGCGCGGTGAGAGCGTGGTGTGTGCGTGTGGCGTTTTCGCTCTCTCCTTGCGTAGATGGGTGCGGTTCACCACGAAGCTCTCTGGACCTGGATCTTTCCCCGAAGGACCTACGTTACACATCGAGCTGTGAAGTTGCGCCCCAGTACTACTCGGCTCAACTTGAAAGCAGGTGATCGTGCGCACCTCAGACAACTACTTAGAAGTACCGTGTGCCCTCCGGAAAAACGACACAAATCCCTTTCTCTAGAACCTGTGCAAATGCAAAACAACTACTGTTTCAAACAAATTTGTACAATTAGATGTCTCCGGACAATTTCTCTCCTCTTAGAAAACCCTGGGCAACTAGCTGCCTGCATACAAAAAACTGTTTGAAAAAACGTGCGCAACTAGTTGCCTGCAGCTAACCGCTGCTGGAAAACCCTGGGCAATTAGTTGCCAATAAACCAAGTACCTGTTCGTTAACTCCAGACACTTGCTGTACTGCTAGAAAAACCCCTTGGGGAACTAGTTGCCTGCCTGCAGAAAACTGCGGCTAGAAACACGTGGGCATTTGTTGCCTACAGAGAAATAATGATTTATAAACCACTTTTGCGTGCATGCAATACCTTGCCTACGGACAATTATTTCAACAACGTGGGCAACTAATTTGCCTGCGGACAACTGCTGGGCTTGTAACAGATGTTAGTTTAGTCGGTGCGCGAAACGATTTCCTCGGCTGGAAGCGAAAGTCCACGCGTGCTGGTTCTAGCATAAATAATGTTCCTGTTCATGCTCGTGGAGCTGCTGATCTTTTGTGGGTGAGGCAGTCGTGTCATCGATGGGGGGGACGTCGAAGCCCGGGAATAGAACTTCCCGAGACGATTCTTGGCAGGTGAAAACCAAAGCAACCCGGAGCTAGGCTCTCCACTAGGTCAACACTTGAGATGATGATTTCTCTTTCGATTCATTGTATTATTTCGTTCTGTTTTTTCATGATTACAGTACGTCGCGAAATCACCACAAGCCAACTAGGATGCTTCTCACCCGATTTGGGGTCAACACCCACAGCCTCACCCTTTTCGCTCTCCACCCCGGCTGCAGCAGAGGCGGAGGTACTGGAGGTCGCGATAGCAGCGGCAGGCGAGCCGCTAGCAGACGCGGCACCGCTGGGACCCGCAATGGCAGCAGGCGACCCTGCCGCAGCAGCACCACCCCCCTCTCCTTGGACCATGGCTACGAATGTCGTATCACCCTGTCAAGTGCAACAGCACACACGGTCGAGAGTCGGAAAGGCATGAAGGGAGCACAACATCGCCCCATACGTCAACTAGGCTCGGCCCGCGAGACAGACACACCCTTGACACACCTACGGCCAGCTAGCTGGGGCAGGGCGATCATATTAAGAAAAAAAGACAAATTGTGTAGTACAGAGCAATCGTGAGATGTACTTCTTGCCTCAGCGTCGCTGCCCAAGATGTCGGACAAGGCGTCGTCGCTGTCGAGCTCCAACGGTTCCTGAGACGCCGCGGATGTCGAGGAAGAGCCCCCGCGGCCGCCGGTAGCAGCTGCGCCACCACCACCCTTGACGGTATTGGGCCTCTCGCACATCTCTGCGGGCAGTCAATGTCAGATCGGTTGGTTTGAAAAGTGAACGTCGGCATCAGCAGTGACACGGGGGTATTTGTGGAAGGCCGAATGCTCTTTCATCGTTCGGCAGACATGCCACCGTTCCGTTCTTCAGTGTCCTTGGCCATACTCAGCGCTCATGGAGTCCAACATGAAAACAAGGGTTAAGGGTCATACATAGAGTTGGAATCACATTTCCCTGTGCATTGCCGGCCCTCTCGCAAGAAGAGTAGGTTGGAAGAGAGCGAAACCGAAACAACTAGGAGCGGAGGGACGAGCCGAGGCCCAGAAATCCCACACGAAAAAACTATGCAGAATGTAACCCTCGTGTGTGGATTCCGTGTTATCACAAGGGTGAGGATGAGTTTCTACTTCGAGGTAGGCAGTATCGCAATATATAAAAGGACTGCAGCGATCACCTTTGACGATAGGGTAGCTACCGCCCTCGGTCCTTTGTTTTTTGCGCAGCCGCTCCTGCACCGCCCTGGGGGCACGAGACAGGCCATTGGGGGGGGACGGGAAACCGGATGCGTCATACGTGAATGAAGTCTATACGCTTCGGGTGGCGGGGGAGAGGGCGGCGAGAAGCGGTGCAATCTTCTTCATTGTTTACCCATCTACACGAAGCCAACCACCTCGGTTTAAGTTTCTCCGACACCGCGCGTCACTGGAATGGATGCTTGCCCATGTTCCACGAGGGCAATGAGACTGGCCCTACACGGAGGCAGGCAAGAGGAACGGGAGCAGAGGAATACTAACAGCTGATCTACGGCAGGCAGCCAGTCCACTGCCGCCCCTACCACAGCCGCCCCTTTCCTTGCGGTTCACGCACGCATATCTCGCGGTGCTAAGCACCTTCGGAGCGTAGTCCGTGTTAACCACCAACACACGCATTCGCTGGGACTGAACTCACGCTTGCAAGTCTCGGACGCTGCAGCCTCGGTCCAGGATGACCCGCATCTTCTTCGTCTGGTCATCGTTCACTTCCACCAAAAGCTTGTGCTTCTTCTTGCCCGGGCGCCTGTGCGACAGAAGTGGTGTCGTAAATAATTGATGCAGGAGAAAAAGGGGAAAATGCCTCTGCCACGAAAACGCCGCCCACTTGAAACCCCCTCTTATTTTGCCCAGGGCTCGCTCCTGAATTCCTCCGAGACGGGAAACCAAAAGAGACAAGTCCAAGATTCTCATGCTCTAAAAAAAAAAAGCTGAGTTCCAGTTATCCACTGGTAACAACTTCTTAGGTAGCGCTACGGTCAGGAGCACCTCGATCAGACACACCCATGGGATTTCGGAGCAGTACAGCCTGCAGGTTCGGCAGCGCACACGGAGGTCTGTGTGTGTTGCAGCACGCAGTCAGCGCGGTCGACCCAGGTCTTTGGAGCAATCTATTGTACAGGCAGTGGAGATGTGGAAGCTGTGTTAGAGGGCTGTGTGCCCTGCCACGAACCGGTACCCAGAACCGCAGCATTCACAAAGAAAGGTAGCAGTGACGCCGTGAAATTCCTGCAACAAAACACGCTTGTAGCGGTAGGCTAGCAGCGCTTCACAGGGACGACCCAGATAATCACGCTCGCAGGAGTATTGCGGGACTATACATTATTGCCTCGCTGTTCCTGGTTGGAATACGCTGAACATGGGTTTTGCATTTGGTTTTGTTAAAGTGGGATGATGACAACCCCCTCTTCAGACGCTAGTCTGCATCCGAGACGAAAAAAATCGAAAAATGCCAAATGTTGGTGTTCGATGGCGAATCAGCAGAGGACATTATGGACATGCGCGTTGGCACACCAAGCTCTGGTGCTGGGGTCTTGCTATCGGAGGCTGCTGCTACGGCCCAAAGTGTCCCCAAATCTGGGTCCGCGATCCACTGCTGCACGCGTCGTCACAGCCCCGATGTTCCCAACTTCTGGCCGTCCAAGGAAGCTAGTGGTGTGAGCTATAATACTGCCGTTCCTCCGCAATTCAGGAGATTGAGTCTGTGACGGTGTGTTGAGCAGTCTAGTGGATCGTGGTAAGGACCCAGATATTTGCGGGCGCTTTCGGGAAGTAGAAGCAGCCTTCGATAGCACGGCCAATGCTACTACAGACCTGGACGTGCCAGCGCATGCCGCTGCTCCATCCATGATGCCCTCTACTGATTTCTCACCGAACATGGTCACTTCGAAACTCAGAGAACCTTGTTCCGACACCCGCCGTGTCGCCTGTTTAAGTCTGGAGTTCGAATACTGCTGTGCGAAAAAAAGGGATGCTTTCTTTTTTCTTTGGGTTTGACATGTAGTGCAAAAAGAGGCAACGCCAGAGCGGTTTCAATTCGAAGACCAAAGCAGCAGCGTTTCCAACGCAAGAGAATCGCGAGTGTTTCCGTGTACTCCCAGACAGGGGGCATTAGTTTTCGGCGCAACAGGCTGTTGCAAAGCGGATTTTACAGCAGTAGTCACTGCCATGCTGTTTGGTCAGTGGGAAGAGTCTTGGGTATGTATTGAACTGCAACACTTACTTGCTGTGTGAAGTAGTTACAATCCTAGAAAACACATGTGCTGTCGTACATGTTTTCCAATCGTATCATATGCCTCAGGTGGTACAATCTGCGCTGCTCGGACCGTGGTCGCATCGCCCTACTCCTGTTCCCTCGGATTTGTAACCCTGGGAGTCGCACGTGACACACAGAGTGTAGACTTAGCTTGGTCTTTGTACCCCCGGGACCAAGCCACACAGCCACGAAACACGCTCTATTTCGTTCGACCGCCGGTGAATAGAGAGGGGACACTCTGAAGGATATAGAAAAAGGACAAAAACATGGGTAAGCTATCATCGCGAAGTGGCCTCCAGCATATTGAGGCTGTGTGCTCACATGCTGCCCGCTCGATCTTGCTCCTTCTGCTCCATTGCTCTGCGTCGTGTGTCCACGAGGGTGAGCGCTTGTGAGGGAGTCTTACGTACGTCCTGCTGCATACCCCGCCCGGTTTCGATCATCTTCGCCAGTTGGTACCCATCGATGGCATATGTCGGAGCCCCCTCTGCGGCTGCTCTGCCTTAGTCCATGATCCCATCACATGCCTGCCGGCCGGCAGCTCAGTGTTTCCTCTGCCGAAGGCGCAGCAGTCACCTTGAGACTCAACGAAATGACATGACAGATTTTTGCGCCGCCGCGTTGTACTTGCCCCTTGCCATCAGCGGCGGGTTGGCCTCGCACCACGCTGTGCACGCTCTCCGAGAACAACTTTCGCCGCCCGTTGCATACTGCTGCTGTTGTAGTCTAGGTCCTTATTTTTTGCTCCGTCAAGCCGTATGCATATGAAATCCTGCTGCGATCAATCTCTCAATTCGCTATGTCACGGAATATCTCTGGCTTCATGGTGGAGGGCAACAGAACACGACACGAGGTGGGGTCGAGATGTCGCTCTCTGATGTGTGCGGAGAGCTATATAGACACAACACCCTGCTGTGTAGAAAAATGCAGTGATTTTTTTTTTTTTTTAAATCTTGCACGACGTCATACATATTTTTCTTTCGCCGAATCCTTCCTGCAACTTGACTTTGTTTACCCCGTGCGAGCGGCGGCGTTTGGCTTTAGGCGTAGTTGACCGCGCTGACAGCGTAGATCGAAAGGCCTACAGGGTCTCGATCTTTTGATGAGCGACTTCGAGTGGGAGCAAATAAAACTACACCGCAGCACATCGCCTCGCCGAACGGAAACGGTGGGGTAGGTGGAGTAAATGCGGTGGGGAATCCGATCTTGACTCTTTAAGCATTCGCGCCGCACGGCCGCCGCCGCTCCATGTCATGTCCATTGTCCCGAAGATTCAACCCCAACCGATTATTGTGCGGATCTAGATGTGTGCAGGACCGATTGTAGGCTTTCGATGGACCGAACTGCCCCCAAAAAGAGGTGTTGCTGTGGAGATTGACGAGTGAGGGAGTGAGGTTCAATCCGAGCGGCGACTGCTGTACTGCTGCGAGATGACGGAACGGCAAATTTTTTTCGAAGAAACTTGAAGAAAACAAGAATTTTTGGAACAATATTATCGTAATACGGTGTGTAGATGGTGCTACAAGGCGGTGTTGTTTCTTCTCGTGTTGGCCTTGCTGTCGGCGGCGAGAGACAGGACACAAGATCCAAACTCATTATCGTTAGGCTGATGTAGGGGCAGTTGGGGGTATGGGTACGGCAGTGTCGGGTGGTAACACCAGGAAAATTCGGGAAATAAAGAACCGGTTCTCGCACACCTACGAAAAAGAAACACCGCTGCATACATCCGTAGATTCCGTGGTGGAAGGATATGATGAACCCGCCATGCCGCTATCTATGGGCGGGCTGGTGGTGGGGAAAAAGATTTTTCCCACCACCCACCCTCACACCCCTCGCGGTCTGTTGAAAGAAAATCGATTTCACGGCTCGAACACACTCGCACGTTCTCCCACTCTCCTCTGGCGAGAACTCTCCGCCGAAACTACACGATCGAGCGGGGGAGAGAGCCTGCTGGCTCGGGTGTTGCAGTACACACCACTCAACGCCACCCAACGGACAAAGATTTCCTACGCCCCCCCCCACCCCGGAAAAGCGACTTCGACGTCGCCCTCGCATTCGCTCTGGCTTATTTTCTCCTGCTGAAGCAAACGACGAAGAGAAAGCTCCTTGTTTGCCTGTCAGAGCACACCACCAACGGCCGCGCTCGCGAGACAGAAGTGAGTGTTGTGTCCGCTCGTCCATTGTTGGTCACAAAACGCATCGTCGTGTTGACACCAATGTCCTTTCGCTTTCGCGTGGGTGCATTTGTTTGCAGGTTTTTCCTTTTCCCGGTGAAAAGGGGGTAGGGAGAGGTAGAGAGCATGGGTTGTGCTCGCGATCGCGTTGCAGTGTTGGTACGAGGACTGCTTGTTTGCGTCGCTGGCGCTGTTCCTGCCGCTGGCATTTTTGGTATGCTTGCTATGGCCGGGAGAACACTGTCCGCTGCAACAAGTGATCATCGCGTTTGATGGCCGTCGTTTCGATGGCTACGGGAGGGGAAAAAGCTTCCGGTGGGATAGCCAACACATAAATTTCCCCTGTCCCTCTCAACTCAAGTGCATACCGCTTGCCGCGCTACATGGAGCTACTCTCTGCTAGCGGGCCATGTCTCGGGCCCGCGGACACCATCGTCGATGATATCGTCGACTTTGTTTCTGGTCGTTTTCGTTTTCGCTCGTATTCCCTCCTCTCTCGCCGCCTTCTGTTGTTCAGGTTTACGTTTTCTCTTACGATATACGCCCAAAGGGTCCGCTGACGGTATGGAGGAGGAGTCGCCACGCGAGGCCGCCGCCGCTCTCTCGGAGGCTGCAGCTACTGAGGATGGAGGACGCGGTTCTCTGGTACGTGAACACACATGAACTCCTATTAATATCGCGTACCTCCTTAAAAGCAAACTTGTAACGTGTAGCGTTAAGCGTGCGGCCGTCGAGGGTGAAACGAGGTGTTCCCTTCATGGACGCTGAAATCGAATACCGTGCAAAAGCGAACCGGCTGCATTGTTCATACAATTTCGACCTCTCCTTCAGATTGCTTGCTTGAAAGTTTGGGCACCGGTAATGATGCAAGATGAAGGAAACACCCATCGGTGACTAGCCCTCGATTCAGGGAAGAATGTGCAACGCGTTATTCACATCGGGCGTTTAAAAGTCGAGCGTAGTTTAGCACTGAAAGTTTTCATCAGTGCCCGTTCGAGACAACCCTCAATCCCCAACAACGGAGTCTGTTGAAGTCGTTTCAACGGTAAGATTCAGTTCAGGTTTTAGGCGGCTTCATTCGTACATGGGGGCGTGGCCGCTACCTATGTCTGAGAATAATAGCAAGTAGCGTTGTCGGCTGTGCTGTGTGTTGCGAAGCCGAAACACACTCCAGCGTGAGGACATGACGGGCAGCAGACGAGACCGGGTCATTAGCAGCACCAGCACCAGCACCAGCACCAGCCGCAGCTATACGATCACCACATAAATCTGAAAACAGAAGACTGCTGCCTGTCACAGCTTGCGGCATGAACCTATTGCTGAGAAACGTAGCTAAGTTCAACCTCCAATCACCAAATTAACACGATCAAAACGGCGCCCTTCTTCGAGATGTCGTGAAATGTTACTCGGTCGACGGGGAATGAAGGGATAAGCGCAATGAAAATCAGCCTAACAGACACAACCCAACATGTGCCAGACACAACCCAACATGTGCTCAGGTGTCGTGATGGGTTATCTCTAGAATGTGCTCAGGTGTCGTGATGGATTATCCCTAGAATGTGCGCGTAATACTCGCAAAGGGCCGGTTTTTTGTTTTCTCTGTGATGGCTAGATAAAATACGGATGTAGATCGTCATACATCATCCTGGGGTATTGTACCGGCACAGCTCTTCTATTGTGTGTGCTCATGCCTTTGGCGTGGCATGGTACATCCCATGGGCAGACCGTGGCATGTTCTCTTTGTTCAATGGATGGTTTGCTCTGCCTTATGATCCAAAACCGTTTTGACCTCTACATCCCGTACCTTCACGACCGTGCTTTTCCACCGTCGAGAAAAGACCGGCCCTAGACCTACTCAGACGAAGGTTCACGAACATAACGAAGGTCCGAAAATCTCCGGCAATCTCGATAAGTGATGAGCAAATCCTAGATGAACAACAGACGGGTGTGAGCTGTCGCAGACGCGGGAGAGTCGTGCGGAAGGGACGAAAACGCGCGGTGACCGCATCACACAGAGCGAACGGTCGTATCTTCGGTGCCCGGTAGATGTGTATGAACAAAAATCTCTCTGCTTTCAACGCCAATACAACGACGCCAAGAACCCAATACATTTGATCCTCCCTCTGGGTAGCGAAAAACTACAGAGACGTGCTGTGCTCAAGCTCTTCGTTCAGGGAGGGTTCCGGAGCCAAACGGTTATTATCCATGTTACTTTTGTTGGGTGATCGTGTCGCAACCCTTCGTAACTCCTGCAAACTGTTCCGAGGTGGTATGTTTTGCTACTTACTCCCCAGTTCCACGTTGTCTCGAACGGGCAAACTTTCTATCTACTATCTATGTGTCTTTGATGAAATGACCCAATCCGGGTACGAAGGAAAGACCACCACGGGCACTCTCATCCACCGACCAAAGTGACCCTGTCTCCACTTACTTCACCCGGGTGGGAGGATATTGTGTGGGAGGATTTGGTCGTACTCGCAGAAGGAGCTGCGTTTGTCTGCGAAGTTACCACCCAATATATTTTCATTTTCAAGTTCGACAGGGTGACTTATTCGCTTTGCAATTTCCAGCTTTTCACTCTCAGAACCAACAATACTAAATAGGAGGTAGTCTGGTACTGAGACGAAAGGGACATCCATGTAGAAATAATTCCTGTCATGAAGCGTTTCAAAATCAAACTATGTATGCAAAAACATGAGCACACTATATACATAAGCTCCTGGTCGCCAAAGAAGCACAGGGACCGACCGTAGGACGCTCTCGCTAAGATCTGCAAAAAGGTTACTACAGTCTACAGTTGCTTGAACTCATATTGGTGCGCTCAGGGATGGTTTGTTTGACAATATGTGTATCTCGTCTGTTTTCTCTACATCGATAGAGTTGGTGGTAGCTGTCCATCCTTCTTGCTCATTTCATGACAAACACAACCAACAGAGTCCATCCTTCCGCATGATGACAACGGGGCTACCCTGGGCAACGAAGGAGATGAGAAAACTCGGTCAAGGCAAGCTGCGTTACAGTTACCAATACGTCAACCATGTATTCCGAAAGGTCTATAGAGACCAGTGCCAGAATGGATGGGACGAGCACACAGACATGTATGCATACACAGCAGTGTAGCCGTGTAGGCAGCACATGGATATTTTCCTCTCTTTGAGCGGGTCACGATTGTGTCATACCTCGGAGAACCAAACCAAGCGGCCCAAACCAAGCGGCGCCATTCCGCCCGCGAACCAGCCCCGAACCATCAACCATCGCGTGCGTGCCAGCGACCAAGCAAGCGCATCAGCCGTTTAGCGTGCAGTGTAGAAGCAGAGAAGGAGATGGTGTGCAGGCGACTGTGCATGGGTGTCTCCACAGTAGCAGTGGCGCGCAAGCACCACCAGCAGCATCAGCAGCAACGCACGTGGTATGCAGTTTGACCCTCTCTCTGTTGTGTCTGTGTGCAGAGAGAGTTATGCTGTGGGAGAGAAAAAATACGAGGATGAGAGATGGGATAGAGCAGCAGTAGCAGCAACGGGCAGGGGTTCTTATAGCGCGTGAGGACATATTTCGGCTTGCGCCATGACCTCTTCAGTGCTCTCGTGTTCTGCAGGTACGATGTGATGCTCGCAGGGAGTTGGAATAGGCATTGCGAGGGCTGCTCTGCTGCTGTGTGAATTTCAATTTGGGGGGAGAACAGGGGAGGGGGATACAGCAAGCACGAGTGGTTGATAGGCTGATACAGCAGTTGCTGCGATTTTGAATGAAGCATGTAGAGTCTTCAAGGCCTTCTCACCAACCTTCCCTGGGCTTGGGTCGCTGAGATTGTGACTCATGATGAGGGTAGCGGTACGAAAATGGTACAGAAATTTGAATGTAGTCGGCACACTGCTGTACCTATGTACTGTACTGTAGTCGAGTGCCAAAAAAGTTGCCCCGACACCCAGGTACCGCTGGGAGGGTCCAAAGCAAAGAAAAATAGTCTCTTTCCCCCCCCTGTTTCTTGTTTCCATCGTTTAAAAGTACCAACACCAAACATGCGCAGGCTCCGCGAACAAAGTTTTTCTCTGTTCCCCCTTCTGCCACACACGATATATAGACTTTAGTCTACACACCGTTCTGATGGGAACAACATGTGTTTCACCCGGGGTACATTGCTCTAGCAAATGACGTGATCAGCTGACAAGGGTGACGATTCAAATTTACAACAACGGCAACGTAACTCACGAAAATGAGCGTTCCATCCGTCCACCGTGCCGAAAAATCCTCCACCGTGCCGTGTGTCGTGATTGGTTCCTGTACCTCGCTGTTGATTGCAGGATGCCAGCAGTCACGATGGCAACTGGAAGTACTACAAGCAGCAGTCCTACGCGCAGAAAAACATCATCAGGCAACTCGCTTCCTTGCTCGAGACCTACGGGTACCACCTTCCCACGGTGAGTGGTACGACCGCGTCTGTTTCGCCTAACACCCAATTCATGTTGCCCCTTGGACAAACTTGGATCGTGTTACGTAGGACACTGACACCGTAGGATGTCATGAAGAACATGGCTGGGCTCGTGATGGCAGGCCAATACCGGACGCACTTGGCTGTGCCCTTTTTTGAAGCCGATACGCTGTTGTTGTGCTTGTTGTGTAAGAACCTTGTAGTGAAACCACCTTCTCGCCCAAGGCGTATTTGTCGTGCCAACATGAAACGAAAGAACGACCTTGTCGAGAGAAATTGCCTCAAAATCGAATTTTTGACGGGAATCACCCCCCCCCCCCCCTCCTACACTACCGCCTCTCGCATTGTGACACGGTCTGTCACCATCCGGGTAGCCATAGGCGGCTTCGTCGAACGCTATTATAGCGCTTGCCATTCGGCCCGCCACTTCTTCACGAATGCGACCGATTCTCGCTCATCGAAGCCAATCGAGATTGTTTCCTCAGCTCGACATACCACACGCCCGGGCGTGCTCGTTTTCCCTCAGGACCCGGCTTCCTTACAGGCCACCTTGTCCGACCACCTCGCCCAGAAGGCCGAACGCGAACGTGATACACCGGAGAACTCCGCGGATCCCGCTCTCCGGCAGGGAAGGATCATGTCGCAAGGCTCTGACTTCATCACGGACACGGGTGCCACCAACCAGGTATGCTCTCCTTGTGCACGAAGGCGCTTTGGGTTTTTTACGGGTAAATAGGTAGTCGCAGCGTTGGGGCACGTTTCGACGTCGAAAGTGTTGCGCATATCTCAGCGGTTCGATCTGCGATTTCTTGGGCGTGCCGTTTCATCATCAAAACAAAAGTGTACACAGGGTGCCGGCATAGAAGTTCCACCGTTTTCCGGAAAGGAATGGTGTTTTACAGGCAGGCTCGGGGTTGGTCCACATCGCGTCAATTCTCCCGTGAACCGCTGCTGAAATTGGTTCATTGCAGACGAAGGGCAAAAAGGACGCGTCCAATACGATATCGAAAAGACGGCAAAGATGCAGGAGTGTTTAGTGGAATAAACTAAAGCGCTAAATCCATGAATGACTATTGAGTGTTCGTGGCCAGTACCTGTGTTCTGCACCGTAGGGGTAGAACCTGAACCACCATGCGCCGTTCTGGGCTCCGCTATGAAAATATCTAGAAAGTATAATCTTGAGCTGCAGCGAATAGAAGCTTACCGTCTACACAATGATAAAGGAGCACCCAAAGTTTGACGGTTTGCATTCTCCGTTAAGCCAAATACGGCGAGGTCCGAGTTCCTATCACAAACCAACACCCGGGTGGTACACAGGCCTCAAGTACCAGCATTAGCCTGCTGCTGACCCTCCTTGTCTTCGTGGGTCCCGAATTCCCGGTACACGGGCCTCAAGTACCAGCCATAGTTTTCAAATGGCCCTCATTGCGTTGTCTATACCCGTTGTTTCGCAGGAGAAGTTCGAGCAGATCATGAGGGAACTTCCTCAGTTGGCCGGGGTCGGCTGCGAGGTGCGCGTCAAGGGCTTCGGATACAGCGTGCAGAGGGCCAAGGGCAGCACCGACGAGCCCACCGTGGGCGACAACTTTGTGTCGCTCTGCAAGACCCTCATGTGCCTCCCCCTCATCGAGAGGCTGAAGAAGGGAAAGGTATCCTGAAGATGAGATGCGCTGTAAAGAATAAACAAGTTTCATGGACTGGATGGACTAGAGTACCCGGCACACCAAGCTATTACCACGATATGAAAAGTTATCTTCGGTATAAACTGCATTGTGCTTTCTTCTAGAGGCAGATGCTGAAGCGGGCACCACCCGCGGACGTGCATTGTGTCACCATGCGTGATAAGTGTGCCTCCTTCTGGTCAAGAGGCCCGCAGGAAGAGACTGTAAAACGAAGGGGGCATTCTCCTCTTCCCCCATTTTAGCGGAACGAGCGTAGCGTGAGTTTTGTGCGATTTGCAACTCAAACCCAACCATTGGACATAGAATCTCAAAGCAAAGAGGGACATGTACATTTTCGAAAGGTAACCCAGTGTTGTTGTGACAACCAGTGAGATTGAAGGTTTAGACGCTATTTCGGATCAGTGTTAGCGTCCACCACCATTCGAGAACCGGCATTTGTTTCGAACCCGTACGCTGATACCGGACTCAATGCTAAGACCAAGAAGTGTTAGTAGACTCTTCCGACTTATTCCTGGTGTGGAAGAGTGTTGTAGCTCACGATAGATACAATGGTGGGGTTCGTCCCCGGTATTACTGTTGCTGACCAGGAAGCGTGTTGCGAGGGACCTTGTTCCCACCATGCGGGTCGCTGAGTTGATCCGGCTACCCTGGTGTTGTGGTCCCGACAATGTCTACCATCCAGCAGGCATCATGTAATATTTCAGAGCACACCTTTTGAAACTCAGAGTGTATTGCAGGGAGGAGACCTTTGCCATGACATTCTGTTAAATGACGGGTGGCGTGCTTCAGCCACGCTTGCTAGAAGCATGTTGTGCTGAAACTGCGGTTCGTTCACCAACGATTGTGCCCGGTGCAGGAGGTGGAGACCAAGGTCATCCTGGACGATGTCAACGCCGTGTTCAAGCCGTCTACCACTACCCTCGTGCTCGGCGCGCCAGGCTCCGGCAAGGTGAACTAAACCGCATACAGAATCAGAATACACTCGACCACGCCCTGTTTCTTCACCCATAAAAGGGTTTGGGATTGCCTCGCACCGATGCTGATTTTATGTGACGTCATTTCAGCGTTCTCGTGTGCTCGTTTTAAGCTAGAAACCCTCCCTAAGTAGAAGACGCACTTCGTGTCACCTATCCCCACCTCTTTTTCGTAACGTGTTTCCCTATTGTCGTCGTTGGGAACCAATCAACAGTCAACTCTACTCAAGGCACTGGCGGGGCTGCTCAAGCACGACGCAGGGCACGTGAAGAAGGGCAGCGTCACGGTAAGCATTTTGGTCGTTTTTGTGAAGACATTGTCGACATATTATTAAACAGAAATATCGGTACGTGGTACAACGTTTTTTTATCTCCAAGTGTTTCTATTCTTGCAGCACACACCGGACATCCTATTCAAGGACGTTGCCAAAGGTTGACAACGATCCGAAACGACGTAAAAATGAAGTAGGAAAAGACACAAACATGATAGAATAGGAAGCCGTTGAATCTGGATGAGGGGGGGGGAGGAATGGCTTTGCAGAAATATATCACGACCAGGGAGGGCGCTCATCTATGGTGGGCGCATGGTGCTGTTGGCTTAGCGATGTTGCGAAACAGTTTGGGAGCCACCGACCTGCTGAACCTATCGTGAGGGGAGCAGCCATCGTTCAGGGAGCTGGTGGGGCGTGTGCGCGTCGCCACAGATGCACTACGGTTGGCGGACCGGTCGACCCTCGTGGAATCTGCCAAACACGAATACAGCATTCTCGTAAGCGCTTTCCGATCTACTGCTGTAGTTGTCGCCAAGCTCCCAACTAAAGTCTCATCAAGTCGAGCCGATCTCTGCTATCGACCGTCTCAGCACCCTCTTGCCCACGGCCGACCTAACAAATCGCACCCTCCTTGCCACCCTGATTGCCTCTTGTGTTTATTGCGTTCGCCTCCAAGTACAACGGGGCCACCAAGGAGTCTGGAAAGTTTTCTCTGCCCAAGGTGGCGGTTTTAGCGGAACAGGTCAGTCCGGCTCTACGAGACGCGTAGAACTGCAGAGCCCCCTACAGAATGTCTGGAGCGTGCATGAATAGATTGATCTAGCACCTCGCGTCCACGCTGATTCCGGTCTGTACCGCTTGCTGTCTCCATCAGCCCGATTGACGACTTGCGCTCGACGTCACCCAATCTCACACCGTCTGGTAACTCATGTGTAGTCAAAACAACTTCTGGCTGCCGCAGGTTTTGTCGGCGCTTGCCGAACGGAAAAGGTAGGCTGTGTGCGCGCGTACCATCTCCGTCAAGGTTGGGTTCGTATACCAAAGCTGAATCCGCGCAACGACTCTCCACAACACCGCTCCTTACACATGAAGAAGTCATTTCTCCGTCACTCCGAACACCAACGAATATTAATATTTCAAGCAAGGACCCTAAATAGTCGTAGCGCATGTAGTCGTGCGGTTAACATTTCAAGCAAGGACCCTAAATAGTCGTAGCGCATGTAGTCGTGCGGTTTCAGTTTCTTTATTCTCCCGACCCCGAACTAACTCAGGTGCTGATTTTCTACTTGTAGGTTCTTAACAGTGAGGCACTTCAATAGGCTTCTATCTTGTCCAGATTGGTTAACCCCCGCCCGCCGTGACGATATGAACATTCATGTGCTCACAAGGAAGGGTCAATGGACCTCCAAGTTTTGTCCCATGGACATAAAAGCGTATGTATTCGATTATTCTAGTTCGTCTCCGACAACAACCGTCTTTTCTCAAAGAGATCTTCGAAAAAAATCCGTTCCGATCGGATCGGATGGATCCAAGTTTGGAACAAAGGAGAGGACGTCTTGCCGGCGCAGGAGGCCTCACCCAAAACCCCTACCCACATTTAGTGATCCTCGCTAGCGAGACAGAACACTCGAGTAGAACTAGCCACGGGTGGTGTTTGCTCCGCCTGCGAGGTCGCGGCCCCGACGAATCAAAAATCGGTGTATCCGCGCTAATCATGCACGCCGACGCCTACTGTACGCTCTCGCCAAGGCGGATCGCCACCTCCCCACCATGACGGTCCACGAGACCCTCAAGTTCGCCTTCGACTCCATGGCTGGCGGCACGCACGCGGAGGGCCTCGTGGAAGAGGACGACGGCCTGACCGACGACCAGAAGGACCTGATATCCTGGATGGACAGCAAGGACCTCAAGGTGTGTGCCACTAAAGTTACCAAATCCACGCACCTGCTGGTTTTTTTTTGCCGTGCGTTCTGCAGTACTTCGGGCTGGTGGAGGCAAGACACGAAGAAGTACGTTGACGAACGAACGTAAACGCGTAACCGTTTCTGTTGTGTTCCGCTATCGGGCCCTGCGAGCAGACGACGGTTGGTTGTAGGTACTTACGGAGGAAGCCGTGTTGGCTATTCTGTCTACTGGTGCGAGTCCACACATGATTCTTCGGCAACGTCGCAAACGGTGAATGTTTTTCATTCTCGACCAGGTGGAGATGGTGATGCGGCATCTGGGCCTGCTTAACGCTAAGGACACGATCGTCGGAGACAACTCTCTCAGGGGCGTCAGCGGGGGCGAGCGGAGGCGCGTCACTCTCGGTGAGAAAATACAGGTCGAGAGGGTGAGAGGTAGAAGAATGAAGGAGACGGAGAGGGTATGGCAGAGTGGAAAGAAGGGGAGATAGAGAAAAGCATAGAGGGAGAGGGAGAGAGAGAGAGAAAGAGAGAGAGAGAGAGAGAGAGAGAGAGAGAGAGAGAGAGAGAGAGAGAGAGAGAGAGAGAGAGAGAGAGAGAGAGAGAGAGAGAGAGAGAGAGAGAGAGAGAGAGAGAGAGAGAGAGAGAGAGAGAGAGAGAGAGAGAGAGACGCCGGCAGGCTGACAAGACAGAGGTCTTAGTGAAGCACACTCACCGTGTCAAACCACTACAACGCACCACCATATCGAGCAACGACGACTTGGCTGAAAGGGTAGCAAAGCTGCTCCCTCCCAACGTGGGTGCGGGTCCAACGGCACTTAGTCTAGTCTCGGAGCACTTGGCACTATTAAGACGATGGTCGGATCGCCTTCTTCGTGTTCCATCAACAGAAACGGACCGCCTCCGCAAGAATTGAAGCTTCACGAGGAAAAATAGAACGGGGAGGGGGGACGCAGACCTTGACCCTAACCTAAACCCAACTCCCCCGATTGCATGCTTTATCAAACGCCTTCACTCAATAGAAAAACCTTGCGAAAGGACACTGACAAAAAAAATACCCGTCCGAATGGTCGAGCAGGTGAGATGCTGTGCGGACCGCAGACGGTGGGACTGCTGGACAGCATCTCGACCGGGTTGGACAGCAGCACGACCTTCGACATCATGAACACGCTCAAGGTACGGGGGATGCCGTTGCGTGCCAACACAAGCTCTTGCGACGAAGTATGAACGCCGGAGAGTGTGGCGCGAAACGCCTTTACAAGAAATACGGCGGTTAAGGGAGTTGCCTCTATGGCAGAATGGCGTACACGAGCTGGGTCCTTTAGCCCCGTTACCTCGCATCTAGATGGACCGAGCTTGGGTGTTACTGGTTCAGTGGCTGACGTGTTCGACAAGTACATGAGCAGCCTGAGCGTGCGCTTGTCACCATAGACCCCGTATGGTACACCCATCCTCGTACCCCCCGCGCTAGGGAAGCATCGAAGCATCATGTGCGTGGTCAATGGCCTGACAAGCTCAGAAGCACGCAAGCCACCCAAAAGAAAAATGAGATATATCCTCCTTCCCCGTCTGCTCCCCCCCTCCAGTCAGCGTCACGTAGCTTCCGCGTCACTGTGGTGGTCGCTCTACTCCAGCCGCCCCCTGAGGTAAGCCGCTCGTTTTTTGTTGTGTTTCTTTCGTCCTGGGTTCCGTCGTGACTGCTGTAGATGTTGTTTGGTTTCTTTGTTTGTCTTTGGTGTGGGCAGGGGTATACCGTATACGACACAAGACAACACACCCCCCCGGACCCATTTTCAAATATCGATTTCTCATCACCAGAAAGATTCACAGCGCCGAACACGGCGGCGTTAAGGCCATCTCGTCGAGAGCTTTTCGACAATGTATCGTTTCGTTTATGTATCCTCTTCGTCGTGGAGTAATCAAGCTTCGAACAATGGTCCAGGGGGTGTGTTTTCTTGTGTCAGATACGATATACCCGGCACCGGGTGGCATACGGGGCTTTGATCCTCCACGCTTATCTATTGTAGGTACATGGCGTCGTTTGGTGATTAACGGCAACAAATGACTGGCTGCGATGTCCGCTCAAATCGACATATCCGCAGAAAATACCGCTTTGCCGCAATGCACGTTCACCTCGACGACGCAGAGCGAAAAGTTCAAGTAGTAGGCGACAAGTCAGGGATCCAGGGTTTTGTGCGGAGCTAATGAGAAAACCCGGGGGGAGATTGAGCATGGAAGATAAGGCGGTATTACGTGGACTACTAAGATGGTCTCCTGCTGTAGCCATTCGCAATCCAAGGAGTCGGGGCACTGGGGTACCGGGACCATTTTTCTGCAACTTTGCCACATCTCAGTTGCCGGCAGCCCGTATTCCAACCTTCTGCCTGTGGGGGCCATGAAATTAGCCCCCGCGCTCGTAGTAGCTCTCATATAGTCGTTCCCATACCGTACCGTGGTGCACGCGGAACGCCAAACTCTTGGTGTTCCGCCAACGATATCAATTCATTGACCAACCCTATACCGTTCATTACAAACCCTATACCCTCATCGAGGGATGGATGGATTGTGTCATATCAAGATGAAAAAAAAAAAAAAAACTGTTGACGCGGACTACGCTCGCCCTCCTCCTCCTCCTCTTCCTCCTTAGACGTACGAGCTGTTCGACAACATCATTCTCATGGCCGAGGGGAAGATCATCTTTCACGGGCCTCGCGAGGACGTGGTGCCGTACTTCAACAGCCTCGGGTGAGGGTCGTTTCAAACCGACTCCGATTCTTCAGAACTTCGACAAGCGCAGTGGTTTTCGGGGTGCCTGAACGTGGGAACAATTTACCCTGAAAATGATCTCAAAAGTAACATGTTGCGAAGAAAATCGCAAAGAGGCAAGGTTTGGGATTTTCTATATGTCCGGCAGTATTTCGAAGGATTCATTTTGAAAACTGGAAATCTCGAAATATTTCGGAAACAAGTGCTGCGTTAGAGACAAGCCTCACCATGGAAGTTGATCTGGATGCTGCCATGCATATAGTTCTGTACGTGCTCGCGCTGTGACTCTCACGCATCTTGCCTCAGAAAAACATGTGTTACGATATCGCTGTAAAATCAAGCTATTTCGCTGTCGACCAGGATGGCTTTTCCGTTCTCGTTGAAAATCGCTGTTCCAGGCTGGCCTACCCTGCTTGCTGAGAACGGCGTTGCTCCCATCGTATCTCATCTTACCGTGTGCTTTGTCACCCGGTCATCCATATATGCGTCGACGTTTCGTGCGCCTTAGTACCACATGCCCTGCCAGGGTCTCGTCTACAGTACCAGGTTGTTGTCGTTGCCTACGACAATATCCATATTTTTTCTCACCCCTGACAAGCGTTCCTCACGCCTGTTCGGTGCAAATCACAATCGGTCCGCTGACGGCCGTTGCCTACCGTCGCCTTCTGCATACACCGCCCGTCAGGATTACCTGCCCTCCCCGGAAGGACGAAGCTGATTGGCTGGTGGAGCTCACGGGGGAGGCCGGGAACGTTTACCGCACCCGCATCGAGACAGGGGGAGGGCTTGCCCGGGCCCCCGTAACGACCGAGGAGTTCCACGCCAGGTGGCGTGAAAGCGAGGGGGGAAAGGCCATCGACCAGGCGAGACTGCGGTGGTATTGCTGACGTTTCGGTCGAAGCTATAGAGGCCGAAATCAAACCACTCGACTAGTCAGCGCTAGAGACTGGTCTCTGATGGTGTGATTTCGGCTTCTTTTAAGCCTCGACATGTGTCGAAGACGAAAATGCTTGGCATTGGTAGGAAGGCAATATTGTTTTCCTTACTGGCACCCTCATGTTGTAGCTGGAAAATGCGGGTGGAGGCTTCGGCTGACTCTGTGACGGCACACCTATTCTGTTCATTCCAGGTTACAGGTGGTCATTGACGAAATCAGAACCTCGCCGAGAAAGCACATGGGTGGCGACTTCAACTGACCCCGGGGTGGTTTTGCGTTCGGTGTCTCAGGCTGTCTTCTGTTTTTTTTCCGGCAGCGCTGCTCGACAGCAGTCCCTTCCCGCAGCACACCGATAAAACTCGCAGGACGGCCTTCGAGAGAATTGTTTTTAGACCTATTTAACAGATCGAGGGGGTTCGTATCCCTATCTCTAACATTCACCCTCCTACAAAAACCAAGCTCAATCTCCTTGCGAAAGCTACCGAGCTACCACCTCAAAATCTCCTATCGTACCTGACAACGCTTTCTCCTTCCCCCGAAAATCCTCTCGAGGAGCACGCCGTTTAGTCCCATGACGTCGTCATGGTGTGTATGCGCGAATGCAGGAGCTGAGGACGGCGGGAAGCCTTGACGAGGCGGCTTGGCCCGCCGTGCACCGGCAGAGGTACCCCAAGTCTTGGTGGTACCACCAGAAGCTGTGCTTCACCAAGAAGTCGATGCTGATGCTGAGGGACAAGGCGTTCATCAAGAGCCAGGTCTTCAGTGCTCTCTTCATGGGTGAGGCTCCCCCGACCAAATCACAGCAGTGTACAAGAATTGAGGCCCTAATGTGTTCCCCTCCGCTATCCAGCGTTTTTGGTGGATGTCTCAAGTCTTGGTGTCGTTGTCGTCATCGTCTGAGGAGAAAGTTACTGAAAATAGCTTCTGTTTGTGTTGCCAACACCGAGCTAAGACACATCATGACATCAGTGGAGCGTCGATGACCGCTGTGACCTCGCCCGCCTCAGCGTGGTAGTTCAAGACGCCCGCCCGTAAGTGGAGATAGATTGCTTTGGTGACAACGCGGCTTTGGGTGCACGAGGTGTTGATATAGTTGAGAGAGCCTGCGGATTAGGCCGCGCCCACGCCCACGCTAACCTTCTTTTGTGACCATTGCTTAGTGATAGCAGAGCCTCAAAAGCTTTCGTCACCCCCGAACACAGTACACCCCCCCCCGCTAGGTAATGTGTCCTGTAGCCTGGTCCGGTGAGAACCCGGCGTGTTCCGTCCCGGCTTTGTAGGGATGCGAGGTCAATGGTCTAGCGACTACGGCATGCACGTCGATGAGCGCCCATCCACCGCCAACCGCATTTCTTGTACCCTATCACTCACCATCCCCACCTTTTGCTTCTTGCTCCGCCGTACCGGGTAAAACCTACGGCGAACGCTACCATCCGCCCCAACCAATCACGCGCGTTGTCACCCTTAGGACTGATCGTGGGATCGATCTTCTACGACCTCGACCTCGATGACGCCAATGCCAAGTTCGGAGTGAGTACCTGCCACGCTCCTGATTAATATTTTTGTAGTTCATTTTGTTCCTTTGGTTTTTTATAGGGTCGGGAATTCTGTATCATCCGCAGGCCTCCGCTTCAGGTAGACCAGCACGAATATTGGAAGGTACTGAGCCGAGACCGGAACGTTTTTTCGGTGAAGGCGACAACAACAGCAACAACAACCAAAACAGTAGCAGCAGCAACAACAACAGCAACTGCAACAGCAACAGCAACACCTCAAACCCTACGGGCCGAGCACGCCGTCGCCAGCGACGTGGCGTGAGTCCATGTCGCTGCACGTGTTTTCGGATGTGGCTTCCTGCCCGGTGGGCGTAGCCCGCAGGTCGCGTAAGACACCACACCCCCCTTTCGGACTGATTTGAAAGCTCCAGTACTCTTCAGCTAAAGCAGGAGGCCGTGCCAGAAATGACAGCGTTGGGACCGTCTCGTCGAGAGCTTTCCGAAGACGTGATACTTTTGATGTCCCCATCCTATTCGTCGTTTGAGTATTCGAGCCATTGGATTCGGCCCAGGGGTGTAGTATCTTGTGCGATCTACGCGTGGTAGGTAGCGGTGGCACTTTCCAAGTGGGGCTGATGGAAACGAAGACGAGAACTAAAACGCAACCGTTTTCTTGTGTGAGTCAAGCGCCGCAACCAGGCTTATCCATCGGCATTCCTCTATTCATGCACAAGATTCAGGAAGATTGGCTTGTTCAGTAGTAGCTGGTCGGTCTGCTCTTGTTGGGACATCATCGACGCCATGAATTTTTCTGCTTTTTTGAGAGTTGAGATACTTCGGGTTCGTCGGTCATCTCTGCTCGTCGCAAACAACAATACTCCCATTTTCCAGCTGTAGTACGAAAACTTTTCGAGTTCGGGTTTGTACTTGGAACCTCAAAAAGTTCCTTTTGGGAGCAGCAGGAACGATGAGATAATAGTCTACTATTCTAGATTAGGGGTCCGGACGGTCTTTACTGTGAAGACGGCACCAACGTGTTACACCGTCTCTGTCTCGTGTTTCTGTACATTCAAACCATTGAGTTTGCACTTTTGGTCCATCTCCCCGGCCCCTCCCCGCCGGACGCCTTCCAATACCGGTCGCATTTTCTTGCTCTTGCCGCCGATTCGTGACTTGCAGCTAATCTTCTTCGCCCTGCTCTACCTGGCTCTGGAGGGAATGGCTCAGGTGGGCATGGCTGTCGTTCTGTCCCCTGCGCCCGTTTTCTCGACAACCTGGAGAATTCCTCCTCAACAACAAATTACAAGAAACGCCCTGCCGGCGTTCCGATCAACTTATCCCCAGAACGTTGTTAACGGTTGTTGCGTTTCTTTCAGCGCGTTGGTTCGTGGTGCGCAACAACAGTGGGCAGGAGTCGCTACTTCCATCTCAGTTCAGGCACCGCGTATGGAGCAGGGGAAAGAGCACTCACGTGCCGCTGGTATTCCGATGGCTCGGTGCAGTGTCTCCTGCTCCCCTCCTCTGTTGTTGTTGGCCGTTAGTTCGTCACCCGCACCCCCACCCGCACCTCTAGGTCAAAGTCGATTGTCTGACAGCCCCGAGCGTAGTAGACGCTCCTTCCCCTGCACCAGTGATCTCCATCCTCCAACCCTTGCCGAAACCTCAAGGGGCCCTCGCGCAGTCGTTCCGATAGCGTTGACGCACGTCGTTTCCGTCATGTCCTCTCCGGTTACGAGCGTGGGCCTTCTCATCGCCACCGTTCGCTTCGCGTTGCTGCTATCGGCGGCTACGCGCATCGCTTGTGGTCCTTCGCATGCAGATCCCGGGGGCCATCGAGCGGAGGGGGGTGTTCTACAAGCAGAACCAGGCCGGCTTCTACCCGGCCTCGTGCGAAGTCGTGTCCGACACGCTCGTCAACACGGCTCTCACGGTATGCGCACGGCCTACTCGGATAGGGTTGCTAAATTAGCGCATGTTTCTGGAATTACTGAGGTTCTCTTCTAGATTGTAATAATGAATACGTCTCTTTGGGGAACGCTGCTTAGCTGATGCTCCAGTTGACATCATGTGCAATTATTTCTGTCGGCGAGTTTGTGGACACTTGTTTGATGTGGTGCGGGTACAGCAACATGCGTGCCTGCTATACATGGGTACACATGTCGCTCCCGCTTTTGAATCACTCAAAAAAGAACAGTTTCTACATTTGATGTCGCCACCTACGTGCTGTTGCTCGATCTCGCGGTAACCGGCCGGCGGCTCTTTTTATGTCGTCGTGAAACCGTCGCGTAACCGTCGTGAAACCGTCGTGAACCGTTGTGAAACCGTCGTGAAACCGTCATGAAACCGTCGTGAAACCGTCGTGAAACCGTCGCGAAACCGTTGTGAAAACGTAATGAACCCGTCGTGAAACAGTCGTGAAACCGTCGCGAAACCGTCGTGAAACCGCCGTGGAACCGTCGCGAACCGGCATTTCTTGCCTGGCAGGTGCTTTGCTCTCTAGTCTTCGCCCCCGTGGTCTATTTCCTCGTGGGATTCAGCACCTCCGATAACGGAGCAAGGTTCTTCACCTTCATGGTCATTGGTAAGTTGAAAATCAGAGGACAAAACAATCACGATTGAACGATTTCTATTGGCACCTTTTTCGTCGGCACGGGTTTTCTCGCCGAACGACTGGGGCGATATTTGACGTTCGCTGTATTGTGACGGCACGTTATCACGTCGTGAATGGTGTGTTTTTATTCCGGCGTATTTCTTCCTGGAGCGCTTCGCTCCCTGTGACTTGCTGGGTGAACCTGTCTTCTCAAGTGCATCCGTAACCAACGATAGTATCGGATCGAGATCGGTCAAGGGAGCTGTAGCTCTCCGAAAAGGGCACTAAGTATGCAAGCGTAAATTTTACATTGACCGACCAAGACGCAGCACGCGTTCAAAATCTGCAGCAGTTATGTCCCCCCCGCCCCCTTCTGCCCCTCCCCTCCTTGTTTGCCATTGCACGACTCCCTGCCGCCCTCTAATATGTAAGTATGTTTACTCCTCAACTTTGCCCATGTCTCAGTGACGGCGACAAACGTGAACGTGACCCAGTACTTCCGATTTTTGGCAGCATTCTTCCCGAACTTCACGCTGGCACAGGCAAGAACATTTGCCTTTGACTTGCCAGCGGCCGTAAGAGGAAAACATTCGGGGTAGGAGCGCAGACATCTAAAGAGTACAGAACGCGCCGTGCACTTAAGAACCTCTTGTTGACCGAAGCTTGCTTTCTTGTTTTGTCTATGGGGTACCCCCACCACGACTACATAGGTTTGAGTAGGTTTTAATGTAGGCTTCTTGGCTGAGCACATATTCTTCTGACCAAGTTTTTTTTTTTTTTCTTTCAATTTCTCAGCTGCTAAGTTCTCAGGTAGTGGCGCGTTCTGTATGCGCATGTAGCGTCCAGCTGGGAAACTTGAGCAGCACCTAATGGGTAGCAAGTGTTTCAAGATGGCTCTCAAATACGTTGAGCAGCGCCTAATGGGCAGATGACCAAGAAAGATCTGTATCAAGTTAAACAGCATCGTCCAAGATGGCTCTTAAATATGTTGAGCAGCGCCTAATGGGCAGGTGTTCCAAGACAAATCTCAAACAAGTTTAGCAGCATCGAATGGGCAAGGATTAATTACTTCGCTCTCCCATTCGTTTCTCGCTTAATCGGACATTTCTGTGCGACCGCGAATGAGCGTGTGTGGACATGACAGATACGATGAGCATGCTTGCCTTCTTTCGCGTATTTCGTCCCCTTTCTCATGACGTCTCGTATCTTGTCTCGTCCTTTGGTGTATCTATCACGTCATTGCCTCCTACCACAACATTTTCAGGGATTTTCGGGTCTGAGCGTGCTCGTCTGCGTGCTCTTCTGCGGCTACCTTATCCCCGGCGACGATGTTCCCGCTTGGTGGATATGGGTGAGCAACTAATGTAGCGACCGAAATCAAATCATTCTATCGCTTGACTGGTCTAACGGTCCCTTCGGCTGACTGGTCTGACGGTTCGATTTCAATTGCTAGCGACGCCACTGGTTGTCAGCTTGCCGTGCGGTGTGGGCGAGCGATTAATTTAGCGACCGAAATCAAACCGTTCCATCGCTTGACTGGTCTAGCGGTTCCTTCGGCTGACCGGTCGGAGGGTTCGATTTCAGTTACTAACGCGACCACTGGTTGTCAGCTAGCCGTGCAGTGTGGGTGAGCAGTTTAAGGACCGAAATCAAGCCGTACCGTCGCTGTCTCGTCTGACGGTTCGATGTCGGTTTATAACGCATCCGCTGACTGTCAGCTAGCTGTGCAGTAGCGGGCGGCTGCCGACAACGAAGTCTTAAGCCCGCTCAAGGTAACGGACACACAAAAAAATCGTCACGAAAACACGGTTAAGGCTCTAGTACCGTCTTAGGCGCGACGTAAGCCGGCTGGTCTTGAGTGGTGGTACGAGACGTTTCCGTGGACGCACCACGGGTATAAACCACTGGGTGTGAGCTGGGTGTGAGCTGCACTTGGTAGCTTCTGGCCCATGGTGCACCGGTTGAGTTGTTCATGTCCATGAACGTGCTGCTGCACCCATTCCACTTCGGCCGTAACATACACGTTTATCATCGCTTACAGCAGCGATCGCGGAAGCAGAGGCGGCCGCGGCCAAAATGTAGGACTCGTCAAGTTCAGAACACTGACTTTAACCCGTCGTTTTAGGGCAACCCCCTCTCTGTCCTCGTGTGCGACTCTCTTTGGTAAAGAAATTCTAAGACGGGTTTCGTTTCCTTGCAACCGTTCCATGTGAAGCCTTCTAGACGGGTTTCGTTCCCTCGCAGGCGTTCTACCCTGCTAAATAGTAATATTAAGACGGTGGTCGTTTCGTTTCAGGCGTTCCATGCAGGCGTTCGTCCTTCTAAGACGGTTTCCGTTCCCTTGCAGGCGTTCCATGTGAACCCTCTCACGTGGGCGTTCCGGGCTGCCGTGCTGAACGAGTTCCAGTCGCCGGAGTATGAGGACACGTGCGGGGTCGAGGGCTTGGCTGAGGGAGAGACGTGCCCCGCGTCGCTTGGACAGGTAGATTTCGGTTCTGATGCTGCTCGTGCTGTGTGTGTATGACATTTTGAGATTCCTTTGTCGTGTTCCTTGTCGCTGCTGTCGCTGCTGTTGTTGTTGTGGTCGTTGTTGTTGTTGTTGTTGGTGGTGGTGGTGTCGTGTTGTTGTTGTTGTTGTTGTTGTTGTTGTTGTTGTTGTTGTTGTTGTTGTTGTTGTTGTTGTCGCTGTTCCTGTTGCTGTTGCTGTTGCTGTTGCTGTTGGTGTCGCTGTTGCTGTTGTTGCCGTTGCCGTTGTTGCTGCTACATGTACTACTGCTATTGTTTTAAATTACCAGCACACGTTACGACAGCAATCATGATACAATCTGACAATCTCGCGGGATGTGTGACGCTCCGGTTGATGCACTGGCATTGGGAAATACCACAAACAGGCATTTGTGCACCCTGACGGTTGTGGGCGCTGACATCCCAAGAAAAATGTTCTTCTTCTTTGCTGCGTAACTTGGCAGGTTGTCATCGATGCCTACGGGTTCGAAGACGACGAGGGCTACATCTGGGGCGGCGTTGCCTTCATCCTGGGAGAGTTCTTGCTCTGCGCCACGTGAGCAAGGTTCTTACCATCTTTTTTAAGAGCATGACGTGCATGTCTGGACCTAGCGGCGTAAGAAGCAAACGCCGCACGTGAGAGGAGAACCGCGCCCCTCTTTTTCTCGTTTGTTCTATCCGGAAGAAGTCGGCTGGAGCCCGCCCTTGGACGATTGTAGGTACGCCGGGCTTTCTCGTTTTCGCACCACGTCGCCTTCCTACATTTCACTTCTCGATTGTATCTTCTCGACCGTATCGTGGCTTGAATCGCGTATTGTATGACTGTCAGGGCTACTGGCTTGGCGTTCCGATTCATACACTGGGACTCCTCAGACAGTGCCCCCATTGCGCCCAGCACCGACACCTACAAGGACGCCGAAGCAGACGCAGACAACCGTAAGTCCTGTGGTCTATCCCGGGCGGTAAATGCCGTTCATGCTGGCCAACCACCCCGTCATTTCTGCGCTCGAAATGCTTCTGTTTTTAGTTGTTTTTAGGAATAGCCCCGTTTTATGTGTTGAACCCGGAAGGGCGACTGCTCTAGGTCCTAGGCGAGCTCGACCAAGACTTGGGATAGATCAGAATGCCTGCTTGAAACCGGTGTCCTAGTTGCTGTATTTTCGTATTTTCGAGAGTGGGACGGTCTACACAGCACGGGTAAGTTAACTATTTGTCCCAAGTGCAGAGCCCTTTTTCAGGCCCTTCGGTCTCGAGTTGTTGTTTGCCTTTCTCGACCCCCTTTCCCACGCGTGATCAAGGGTCTAAGCGCTAAGGCATGCAAAACATGAATACACACCCCACCAAGAGCCTGGTCCGGTGAGAACCCGGCGTGTTCCGTCTCGGCTATGTAGGGATGCGACGTCAATGGTCTAACGACTACGGCATGCACGACTATGACCCCCCCCCCTCCCCCATCGCTGCATAATTCATTCCGTTCGGCGCCCCATCCCAATCGTCAGCGAGCGTCGAGCAGTTCAATGCTCCGGTGGCGAAGCTGAAGCGGCAGGCATCCCAGCTCGAGAGGGGGCTTCCTTTCGAGCCCGTGACTATGACATTCAGGTATAGTACTGGACAGACATCATTGAACGCAGCCGTAGAGGGCCTTTTTTTTACCTTGCCCGCTAGTGTCGGAGGAGTTCATCGCAAAGACCACATGTATGCATGGTCAAGATAACCCTGTTGTTGTTTGTGGCAAAACCAGCCGTTCGACAGAAAGAGCAGTTTGGTGCGGGCACGCAGGTCCCGTAGGTGGGCAGAACCCTTGTTTTCGTTCTTTTCTTCGAGCCTTCCACCCCTGAGAGCGTCACACGTGCCAGCAGTACTACCGGAGCGTCTTCCCGCTGGGCTTCCGTCGGAATCGTCATTCCCCACCCAGTCCCTGCTGCCATTCATTCGTCAGCGCTGCAAGTTCATCGAGTCTCGCTCGGGTTGTGGTTCAGCCTCTGAGATGTTACTGTCAGTGTTGGGTCCGGTTTAGCGGTCCTCAAGTGTCAGGAGGGGCAGTTGTTTCTTCTTCGGGACAGTTCCTTACGTTGTGGATACAGCGGCTACTAGTCGGGGTGCAGCAGTGGTACCTCTCGAATCTGCGGCTGCCATGCAGGTCATGTCGCCCACCAAAGGGTGCCGCTAGACCGGACTGTCGCCCACCAAAGGGTGCCGCTAGACCGGACCGTCCACCACTGTCAGTCCTGTGCCGCCGGCGAAAATGAGGGCAGTAGTCGTCTTTGCTGCGTTTGTACCCCTTCCACGGGGACCGTAGATCGTTCCAGATGACGTTCCACGTTCATGTTCAGATAATGTTTCACGGTCACTTTCGTTTGCGCTGTGTTTGTTGTTGTCGCATTACCACGTTGCTTTTTTCATGCGACCGTGGTCGGGTCATCAGCGACGTGTCGTACAGCGTGCCTCACCCCTCCGGAGACGGCAACCTGGAGCTGCTCTCGGGAATCTCCGGATTCTGCAAGCCGGGCGAGGTACGCGGACTCTGACATCGATCCATGTATTGCTTGCCGGCCATTTTTTTGCGTTACGTTGGTGTTTCGAGGTGCTGTAGGTTGACGTCTACAATTGCACCTAGGCTGCGAATTTTTCGTCTTTATCCTGGGTGCACCCTGCGGGTTGTTGTCGAGTTGCAATGTGCGTGCTCAATGGGACATTGTGACACAGTGATGGTTGCAGCGGCTGGATTATGCCGGTGTTGCTTCCTGATCCTCTGGTACCGTTTCGTTCTCGTAAACCGCGGAAGCCAAACGAAAGCAATGGTGTGAAGAACATCGACATGTCACCAGAAGTCACCCCCCACGGTATGCTCCGCCCTCTCGAGGACGCGTGGTCAACGATCTAACAATTAAGGCATGCAAAACATGAGAGTACCTCCCCCGGTTCCTTGTTTTCAAGATGACCGCTTTGATGGGGTCCTCTGGTGCCGGAAAGACTACGCTGCTCGACGTGCTGGCCGGCCGCAAGACGGGCGGAACGATCACCGGCGACATCCGCCTCAACGGCCACCCGAAGCAGCAGAAGACCTTCACCAGGTACTCTATGCATCAAGAGTTGTTGCAGCTGGCGTTGTCTAGCCTTCAACGGTGTTCGCGGGTCGGGATTATTCCCCCGTTGTCCCCTTTTCCAGGCCCCACTATTGTACGACGGCCGTGCCGTCCACTTTTGTCCGTGTTGGACATACTGCAAGGTTTGTACAAACGATACGCGTCGTCGCTCCGGACTCGTCGAACGAGTGCTACCCCCCCCCCGCCCCGTCTAGGACGCCTTGTCAGTGGCCAAATAATAACTAAGGCTGCAGAACATGGGTACTCGCCCCCCCGAAACTCTTCTCGGCATGGGATATATGTTAGTCCGGTTTTGCCTGGCTTAAATTCCCCCCGCCCTCCCGCTCGTCACACTGTCAAGTCTCCGTCTCGGCTGTGCATTGGGGGGTGCATTGGATGGATAACAGCTGCGACTTGGGTAGAAGACAGGAACAGAACAATAAATCATAAAACGAAACTCTTTCGATAAGCAAAGCGAAATCTAACCTAATGCCCCCCTTGTGGTGGCAACCATCCACGTGCCCTGTCTGGCAGGGTCTCCGGCTACGTCGAGCAGCAAGACATGCACTCCGCGGTCGTGACCGTGAAAGAGGTACGGCGAAAGGGAGGAGACTTCCGTCGCCCGTAGATCGAATTTCATTTGGCACCACCACACCTGGGTCGATTGTCAAAGCTCGAATGCGCGAAAATGTCGACGCTGGATTCGTCTAGTCGACTTCTTTCCGAGAAAGCGTGCCATTGAAGTGTGGCACGATGTTCGCGGTGGAGTAATCGGGCTTGGAAAATCCGTCCCAGGGGGCGTGGTATGTCACGTAACCTGCGGTGTGCGCTGGGGGGCAGAACGCTCGCTATAGAATCGCCATTTTTCTCCGGTGTTGGGAACGGCGGTTCGTCTTGTCAAAACTCCTGTTGATTGTTGCTAACCACGGTATGAGTGACCGATTCTTGTTTCTCGAACAGGCCCTGATGTTCAGCGCAACGATGCGGCTGGACGACTCCTCTGTGGACAAGAACCGCCGTGAGGAGTTCGTCGACGGCATTCTCTCGGTGAGTTAGCCGCTGCTGTTAGCTGCGTCGTCAGGAACCATTGTGGCCTCCATCTCGCGCCTCCTTTGCCAATTCTAATCCGGCCGACAACAACGTACACGCATAATGGTGCAAACACAAATAGGGACAACATACAGAAAGTCGTCCTACTGACGGAAGAATAGTGAACGTCATGGATATCGCACCGTCAACGACCGTTTGTTGTCTTCCATCTCTCTTGCCTCCTTTTCGGTACGAACGTATCGGTCATCGGGATGACTAAATGCCAAACTGCGATAGGAAAAGGTAGGGAAAAGTGCTGCCGTTGACGAGACTCCCAGAAAATGGGCCGAAACGAGCGTCATGATTAGCGGCGGCAGGCGTGTAGTGTCAGTGACAACCCTTTCAGTCTCGAGTCCGCAGTATTTAGTGTGTGCTCCCTCTGGAGAAATATCTCGCGACACCATGTCGGACCTCTGCAAGACCTCCTTGTGAGCAACTCCAACCTACCCGTACACGTGTGGCCCCCAGCTCTGAGGGCACATTTGAGCTTTGAAATTCATTCGCTGGACGAATAAAACGTCGAAATCCTTATGCGGCATTAATCTGTGAGCTCCCTTCGGTTGGCCACTTCCGTGTGGTGCGAAATAGTTCGATGTCTCAGCTTGACCGCCTGGCAATCAACTGGTCTCTCGTTTTTGGCCACGACCTCTACCGTCGATCGCAGTCTCTGCCAAACCGGAAGACGGGGTCTTTTCTACGCAGCATTGACCACCCAGCAGAAAAACCACTCCTCTCGGGCACATGCCCTGAATAGAAACAACTCCGGGTTCAGCGCTGCAATCAGCACTCATGCCGAGTTTTCAGTCTTCACAAACAATAAGCCGCCCCTATCTTCACAAACGGCCAGCTACCCCTTCTGACAGACCCCTCACAAACGATAAGCCCCCCCTGTCTTCACCGACAATCAGCTTCCCCAAACAGATTGATTCCCAACTTCGGGCAACGCTTTTCTTGTGCCTTTTTCGCCGCCACCAACAGATGCTGGAGCTGGACGTGATCGGCGACCGGCTGATCGGTAGCAACGAGGAGGGCGGGTTGTCCCTCGAGCAGAGGAAGCGGACCACGCTAGGGGTTGAGCTGGCCGCGAACCCGAGCATCGTCTTCCTAGGTGCTTACGACGTCACGCGACAGTTTTTTTTATATTTACCCTACACAAACAAAACGGATTCATTGTTATCCACGGATGAAAGCTCATAATTTTTCAAAAATTCGTTGTGATACATGACTGTAATACTGTGTTTCTGCTAGTCGAGGAGTGTTACCAGTTTCGGATGGAGCGTTGAGCTGCGAATCGCTACGTTGCGAAGGCCACATAACATAACTATTGGTTGTTGCCTACAGAGGTAGTCAGATTCATCCCTACCTGCTGATTGTTTGAGTGCATGCGCCGGGATGCGCATCGATAGTCGCCCTCTGTTGTTGCCGCTGGATTCCCTTCGCCCCCTCTCTTCCAGTATCCTCAACACCCGCCCTGCTATCTACCACAACCTTCGTATCCATGTATGTATGCCGGGCGGAAGGACCCAAGCACTTGCTTCCCAAGTCAGTACTCCAAGCACGTTTCTCTACAGTACGCGTGTAGACCTCCTCTTTCTGCGTTAGGACCTAGGGAAACGATGAAAATATTTGCGGAAATTCATCAGCTGTGTCTCAATCTCAGCGTAATTTGGAACCGCTCGAGAGCAGTGATACTTGACACCGAGGCGATACTCCAGAGTCGTATCAACCTTCTCTTCCTCCTCCTCCTCCTCCTCCTCCTCCTCCTCCTCCTCCTTCTCGCCCCATTGGTTCCCGCAGATGAGCCAACGTCCGGCTTAGACGCTCGCTCGGCGCAGGTGGTGATGCGCGCCATCCGCAAGGTGGCCGCCACCCAGCGCGCCGTGATCTGCACCATCCACCAGCCGTCCACCTACCTGTTCGAGATGTTCGACGCGCTGCTGCTGCTCAAGAAAGGGGGACAGGTCGTCTTCTTCGGGCCTCTGGGAGACAACAGCAGCAACCTCATCAGCTACCTCCAGGTGAGTAGACGACGAACAATAGATTCCTCGCTGATGCTATTTAAAGTTTCTATTCTGGGGGGGAACAGCTGCACGATCGTATCTGCTACCTCCAGGTTAAAGAGGGACAAGAATGGCTGCTATCCTCATCTTGCTATCCTCATCGTTCTAAAAGCTAGTCGTGGGTAGCGTGATCTTTTTGCTTGCTTGCTGTTCTGCGAACAATTCCTCATTTTGCACCCCAAAGCATCACGCTGTACACGAAATATCGCTGCTTCCGCCTTGGCCTCCAAGGCTTGAGAGATGGATAGCCAGGCCTTCGATTCACCGGCACAATTTCACGCGGTACTTTATGAAATGGTGTGTGGGACGAGTACCGGGGGGAACTGAAACGTATTCAGCGACGAACCGGAACATACGATAACCGGGGTGTCCGTCGTGGTTTTACCCGGTTACTGCGCCGGGGAGGGGTTCCTTGAGCGAACGAGTTTTTGGACACAGACGTTGGAGTCGAGCTGCGTTGAAAGAGGCGTTGAGTTGCCGACAACTCCAGCAGCTCGCAAGCAACCCCAGCCCACAGAGCTGCGAAACGCTCGTCACACGATGTGTGAGATTGTCAGATGCACCACCACGACAACTGGCCTACCTTATTCAACCCCGGCGATTATTTGCTCCTCTGCAACCACGTGCCATCGTGTGCGAGCAGCTCGAAACGAATTGCATCGACGGTCGAAATCTAACTTGTTTCACGTTTGTCACAGTACAACAGTTATGTCGCTGCGTGCCTTCTCATTGCCCCCCTCCGCTGCTGCCACCCCCGGCAAATATTTGTTGTGCAGTCCATCCCCAGCACCGTTCCGATCCGTGATCACGTCAATCCGGCAACGTGGATGCTGGAGGTTATCGGTGCTGGTACCACCGGCAAGGTAGGCACGCCTTGTCCAAATGTTGCGGTTGTTGTCGTCGTCGTTCTTTGTTGCTGCTCTTGTCATTACGTAGTGTTGTTGTTGCCATCGTTTGTTGGTGTCGTTGGTGTTCTTGCTATGCATCATTGCGGTTGGCGGTGAGCTTACTCCTGTGAAACTAAACCCAGACCGTGAAAACGTTTACGATCAGCTGCAAGAACGGCCAATAATGGGTGGAGGTTCTGTTCCTGATTTTGTCGATACCGTCGAGCAACTCTGGTATCCTCGAAATCATTGACTCTCTCCCTTTAGGTTGTCGGTTCGAGTCTCTCTGGCGTGTGGAAAATATCTCAACCTAGTGGTGGGAAGCTCATTGTCGCGAGCAAACACAGAACGAGGAGAGGGAAGTGCCGAGCCCTTTCTCTACTTGAAGAGTTCAAGAGAAAGAGATGTTGTCGTCTTCGACAACTGCATCACGACCTGAATCAGGCAGATTTGAATCAGGGGCGTTGTCTTGTTTGACAGCTGCGTCGACGACCTCATTGAGCCTGGGCACGTGACGTCATGACCTAGCTTAGCTGATTTTCCTTGCCCTGCACGCGTCGCTTTTTATTTGATGATATTTTTTCTTGTGTCGACAGACCAACCCACAGATGTACGCGGATTTCTACAAGAAGAGCAAGCTCAGGAACACTTCCATGGCAAAGGTGAGGCAGTAGATCTCCCCGATATGGTCCGTCAGGAATTTCCATGTTGGTCCATGTGTACTCTAGTCTACCGCTGAGTTTTTTTTGTCCTGAAAGCGTTCCTTTCACGTGCCTACTAGAGCGTGAGATGGGATTCGAAAGTTCGAGCGTTGCCCTTGTCAACAACAACTTCAGCAGTGTAAGACTTAAAACCTTCTGGGCATGTTGTGAGCAGTAAAGCAGTGCATTCATTCTGTGGATGTGAACCGCTGTGTGCCCATCCTTGAAGGGTGGTTGGTGCACACAGCGCACCTGCTTGACAGTCAACGTTTCACGAGAATTTCGCCCGTGAGACGCACGTGGACGTACCACCGAGGTAGATCCAACCCCTGAATAGTTTCCGGGGAAGGTCGGCATTGCTGTTGCGCATCACCTTAATGGGAGGGACTATACTGGTACGCGCGGATCTTGCTCGCAGGAAAGTTTGAACTACGGGAAAACCTGACGCAGCAGTCAAATCAAGCTTGACTCCAATACTACATGTCCATGCAGGGGGAAAGAAGGGTCCTGTGTGATCCGTTAGGCATATATGTACGCCGAAAAGCCTGTGAACCGGCGCCAGAATAGATGGGACGAATCCCCCCCAATACACACGTGCGTGCGCACTTGCGAACCTCTACTTCTGGCCAAGGCTGGGATTTTACAATGGTTGTTAGGGGTAGCCCGCTATATAGGTTTTAGTGTAGGGGTTCTTATCCGGACTCACAAAACGGTGCTCAAGTTCTTAGATTGTTGGCTTTTTCGAGGCTATGTCGATTTCGAAACTGCCAAGCTCCTAAGTCTAGACCGTTCTTTCCGACGCTTTCTCTGGATAATAAACAAACTGATCCGCCCCCCCTTGTCTTTCTTTGCCCGTTCGAAACAGCTGGAGGGCCTCATGATCCCCCCCGAGGGGTCAGGGCCTCTCAAGTTCAAGTCTGTCTTCGCGGCATCCCCGTCCCTGCAAGCCAAGGCGTGCATGAAACGGGCGGTGATGCAGGTGAGTCCTCAGAAAGAAAAGAAGGGGGTTCTACCCCGTTCTTCTGTAGCCTGCAGGCTTGACCTCGTTGTTGTGTGGACTGAAAGCTTGAGGTTTTTTCCTTCGGAGGTGAGATTCCCAGGCGCGCTCATGCAGCAACTTTACCTAGGCTGTCGCACGGTTCAGGCAACGAAAGCCCTGATGTTAGGGCCAAGGCTTGATGCTGTAGTTTGCCACGGAGAAGAAGTCGCGTGAGGCGTAGACATGCTCGGTACAGAAGAGCACGTTCGCGCACTAGCCTTAGGTGGCGTTTCTCTGTGGCCCTCTAAGTTTCATCGACCGCGCTAACCGGCTGCACACTGCAAAGACTTCTGTCTTTGTTGCGCGTGTGCGTGTCTTGTGAGATCGTCCCCCAATGTTGTCAATATATCAAGGCGTCGAGACCGTTTCGGGCGCACAAATACTTGATTTACATAAGGGGAGGGCTTGCTTGTGAACGCGTGCTACAAGGGGCCGTTTCTGCCAATCGATATTGAACCCCACCATATCTCTGAATGCAAAGATGGGTGCATGCCGTGAAAGGAAGTGGCGAAAAGGCAGCACCACCCGACGCACTAGAGTACCTTAGAGCACACCTGCATGGAACCGGAAACGATCGATTATCTAACATGAGTGGGTTATTTTCTGGTTTTGGTGGTGGCGGTGGCGGAGGTATCCATATTGTTGACTGTTTGTTGCCTTCGTATGGAACCACGCTCGTGTCAATCCAGTGCCTTCTCATGTCCCATGCCACTCTCCAAGACACTGAAACGACATTGCGTGTCGATGGCCTTGGTGTTTTTTTTTTCGTTTCGGACAGAGTTAGTAAGTTTGCCGCATGTGTTGTGTTGCCTGCCCATCTCCCGCCCCTGTCCTCGACCCTTCCTGGTACATCACCGTCAGTACTGGCGCAACCAGGACTACAACTGGATGAGAATGCAGCTCGCCATTCTAACGGCCATCATATTCGGCAGCAGCTTCATCGACTCAGGTGCGTGCTTTGCGTCTCGTCTGTTAGCTAACCCGCAACCGTAGCAGTTCGAATGGGTGGCGTACCTTAAGGATGTGAAGGTTCGCACGGGGGTGTTGCCGTTGGTTTGTCCACAACCGGGAGGACGCCACCGGACGAAACGGGTTGCTTTGGCTTTGGAAATATCTAGACATATGTACCAGCATCTACAATGCAACGCTGACGAGATAACGACACTAGTGCTCCACGTTGCCCACCTCGGTCTGCACAAAGCAGATTTCGAGACAGAGGCAGACGTGGCGTCGAGGCTGGGGGTGATATACATGTCCACCATGTTCGTTGGGGTGATCTGCCTGGAAACAGCCATGCCTGCCGCGGTGAAGGAGCGCATCGTCTTCTACAGGGAGCAGGTAAAGTCCTCCACCAAATAGCCTTCATGTCCACTGCTGTACTTGAGTGCAGCTTTTTCAAGGTAGGTTTGCCTGTGACCACCGGAGTGGACCACGTCGAAGTGGTAGATCCGTACGGAGAGATGGGGGTACTGGGAAAAGACGTCGGGGCGGTTATTAGTGTGAAGACAACAACAACTACAACTACAACAACAATCTGCGCGATTTTTAGAGTTTCGTGCACAATGAAAAGCCTCGTTCATTTCCCCGACCTTGTCAGGCGGTCCTGGAAAAGGCGCCATTTACGGTCGGAAATATGTGTCTCTCGCTTCAATTTCATCGTTTAGTTGTAATTTGGGGGGGGGGGCAGGGGGGGGGAGGGGGGGGACAAGTGCATATCGAAAACGTTTCACTGCTGTTCTGCCGGAGATTCCTACCGTACGTAGCCGATCCCGTTCGGTTTTCTGGTAGCGTACACTGTTTACATTAATTTCTCTGACTCGCCGAACGCACGCTACGCCAAGCATGCTTTGAATCACGCCCTCGATCTCGCTTCACACGGCAACAGGCCGCAAACATGTACAGCGTACGTTCGTACGCCATCGGATACGCGGTGGCGGAACTGCCGTACATCCTCTTCATGTCGCTGGCCTTCTGCTCGATCTTCTACTGGATGACGGACCTCGCCAACTCGGCCCATCAATTCTTCATGTACTGGTAAGGCGCGACACAACGGCCCTTCACGGCTCATCCTCTATCGATGCCATTCGTGTTGGGTATGTGGAATATTTCTGGGAATTTTCTATGCCCATGCCCAAATTTGGAGGGCCGCGTGTATCGGTAACAAGCAACCGCTCTGTGTGCACTACCACCCTTCAGGAATGGGCACAAAGGGCAAGCACCAATCTTGTCTACAGCTCACAGGTTATTGCGGGTTTCATACGTGAGATACCACACCCCCTGGGCTGATTTTCAAAGCTCGACCATTCGACGAGGACGAGGAAGCCAGAATCAAACAATACCGTGATCGAAGGCTCTCGACGAAACGGTTCCAACGCAGACGTCTTTGGCGTAGTCGTCGTTATTGAGCCGGCGAGAAATCAAGCTTGGAAAATCGGCCCAGGAGGTGCGGTATCTTGCGCGATTTACGGCACTCCTGCGCAACTCGACCCCCATGTTCTCACCTTCAAGATAGCAACAACAGGTTTCCGACATTTCACGCCCTGTTGTGTTAACGTCTCCGCGTTTTCCGTTGCGCGTGCTGTGCGCTCCCTCCGCCAACCAGGCTCTACTTCATCCTGTGGATATCCCTCATGGTCTTTACTGGCATGATGCTCGTGATGGTAAGACCTCTTGCCCTCTGTGTAGAAATTGCACCAAGTGCCAGCCGTGTTGTTGAAGATAGTCGCCGTGTTATTCTGGCTTAGCCCACCTCTTATTTTTGAAGCAACGACCACGTGTTCGTATACCCGGACGATACGTACACCTCTTCATGTAACGTGGCGGCTCTGGATTCAAGCGCGTGCTTCTTTCGTGAGCCCATGTCACGCTCTCCGTCTCGTGAGCTGCTCTACGATATTCGTTCCTTTCTTCCTAGCTTTGTGTGCTCCACATGTCCCCCGATATCTCTCGTCGGTCTGTTGTTCTGTAGGCCTACCGTGAGCAAACTGCTTGGACTACACCCGCTTCCCTCTCATGCCCTTTCTAGTGGCCAGTATACCTACCGCGAGCACGATAGTACTGCTGATTAATCGGAAATATTTCGATGCTACGACGATACAGCATTAAGGATTCTCGCAATGTCATTGTCTGCCGAAGGTTCTGCCGAACATCCAGGTGGCCGAAACCTTGGGAAGCGCCCTGTCGTCCATGTTCAGCCTCTTCGCGGGCTTCCTCATCAACCCGGCCAAAGTCCCTGATCCCTGGCTGTTCGCCTACTACTTGAACCCTTTGCACTACGTTGTCGAGGTGAGCGGACATTGGAGCGAAGCAATTGACGCAGTGGATCACTAAACAAAGACACCTGCATACCTCGTCTTTTAGTTTTGTCCTAAACCTCCTGTGTGGACCCTTTCTTATTGTTGGTTTTCCTGTTCTGCAGTTTGTTCCGATTTGGGTATGTATCTCGGTACCTCTGACTCGAACAACGTCCGCCTCGCTCTCACTCCGTGCAACCCACGCGGTGGAAATCGTCCTCAAGTTCTGAAATCCTACCAGCTGACGCTCTGCCCGATCTCCCCCGTCCATCCTACATACCTTCGTATGGCGTGTACCTCGGGATCTTCTACGTGGACGTGTTAACGTCAACGAAAACCCGACACTCGTGGCCGACCACCCCGTCTCCCCTCGATGGAAATCCCCATCACTTGTCGATGCCGGCATGGGTTGGTGTGAGCGAAGGGCATGGTGAGACATGCAACACAAAACAAGAAGCTTGATCCCATCTCTTGATGCGTGAGGAGAATTTGATCCGACAATACCTTCAACGTAGAAAAATTGTCCCAGAACGAAAGTCTACTAGACGTGGCAGTCCTTGAAACATCCCTTCGAGGATCTGACCACCCATGGCGACCGACGCAATCAATCAACATTCCACCCTGCTGCCGAAAGTCCAATTTCGCCGACGACCCCATTCTGTAGTACACCATCGTTGTGTGCGCGTTCTGGTACTGGGGCTTCATGTCGGACTTCACAAAATGGAGCCCGGTATCGATTGAAATGGCCTAGCACAATCACGGGTTCAAAGACTGGTGCTAGCGAGATGCTGGCCTATTCGTTTGGGATCCGAACCAAAGCCGAGGAAGTCTCTGGGGGTGATCGAAAATGACTGTTGTGGCTACGCGGTACGCTCGCCTCTCTGATTCTACAATGATTTTCGTTTTTGTAACCCTACACGCGTCAAACAGAGCACCACCCAGTACCGCAACGACGACACTGTCATCACCACCGCCACGGGTGTGGAGACCACGGCGGAGGAGTTCGTGGACGACTTCTTCGGGGGGGAGTACAAGTACGACAACCGCTGGTGAGCATTGATGTTTCTGTTGTCGTTGTTGTGGTTGTTGTTGTTGTTGTTGTTGGTGGTGGTGGTGTTGTTGTCTTCACAACAAGAAGCGGTTCCGGTCTCCGCTCAGTACCTCATGATGCCCGTACTATAATAGTCCAACTGACGAGGACGCTTTCCTCCGTGGTCACAGGCCAACTACCCAACGGAACTGCTGTATAGCGAGCGAAATCGCCCGTCTATCTAGCACTTACAAGTGTTCTTGAAGGTTCGGTCGTCTGTCAACAAAGGCACCCCACCGCAAGCTTTCAAGCAAACGCAGCCGCGCACAGGCCGAACGATCGCACCTTGGATTCTTTCTTTTTTTCTGGTCGTACTTCACGCGTTTTACAACCGATCAGACGCGTGCCATAGCTACGTATGTAGCAGGGGTTGTATCACATTGATGAATTGGTGGTGGTTGCATTGAACAATGTTCGAAGTTGAGAAGGCTATGTACCTCCGATGGACGACGGCAAACCTATCGCCGGTCCTCCGTCAGGCCCCGTGAGGGCTGTGCCTACACTTGCTGCCTGCACACCCACGTGATCGTCAGCAAAACCGTTAGTAGGTAGAGAGGCGAGAAGCGACGTGCCCACGCGCTCGAGGATCACACCCGCATTGTGAGATACTCCGTGCATGTTCGAACTCGAGGCTGGCGTCGATGAAGAAGAAGTAGGCAGAATGCCGCATGGTTAGAGTGGCGTGCGATTAGGACCTCATGATTCCTCCCGCCAAGAGAAGGCATGAAGAGTCATCATGTCAAGTGTGCCCCGCTCCCTTCCCTCGCCCGACGCCGCCATCTTGTTCGGGCCGTCCGTCATGGGAAAAACTGTTATTTTGTCCCTCCTGTTCGAAGGTACGGCGTCATGGGACTGGTGCTCTTCATTGCGGCCGTGCGCATGGGCTACCTGTATGCCCTCAAGAACGTCAGGCACCTCAACCGCTAGAGTTCCTTGTGCTCCCAAGGTCACCGCAAAACAGCGGTCGTTTGTACAAGACGATGGTTCGTACACTTTGGCAGCGTAGTAACCGTGTGATATGCGGGGTAATTTAAACGTAGGCCAGGGATTTGTTTCCCCGGGGGGGGGGGGGGGGTTCGTATGCAGATCGGCAAAGCACTGCCCGCAGGTGTGGAACTAAGCACTTGGAAGGCGAAGTGATCGTGTTGGGTTCTCTCACAACCCGGACTACGGGGCCTCGATTCGAGGCTCGCGCAGGAGGTCGTTATCCGACCAAAACTTTGCCAGTTGCGCGTACATAGCTTGGGGCGAACACATCTATCGTCTCCTAAAAACCGAAATTGCTTAATTACTTGAGATTGTATGGATTAGTTAAATTTGCCAGAGCAGTGGCAAGTGTGAGAGGATTCGTAGAAGAACTGTTCCTCCGTACACGATTTCGCTCATACAGAAGCCGGACTGCACTGACTGACACCTGGCACCAAGGCCATTCGTTGTTTTTTTGCTGTTGAGAAAGGAGTTTTTCACCATAAGTTGTATCGAAGAGTGGGCCGCGTGTGTGCTAGGAGACTTCTGTCCGTGAGCTAACCCGCCCTGAGTTCAAATCCCCTAACTTCGGCGATTTTTGCACATGGCCAAAGAGACCCGACTGCAAGGCGCTTGCGCCCGAAGTAATTCATCTTGCCTCCATATGTATGTACTCCCCAAACCTAAAACAATTAATTAAATCAAACACCCATATATATTTCCCGAAGATTCTTAGGGGCGTTTTCTAGCCTGTCGTCTTTGTGTGGAGTTTTTTTGTTTTCGATGTTGTTGGTCTGTTTGGTGCTTTGACAACCTGACTTGTTGAGCGTTGTGGCTTTCACTGGAGTATTTTCAGTGCGAAAACCACCTGGTTATCTCCTCCTTCGTCTGCCTCCCCTCGTGTCGGCTACTTCAATATTCTGCACACGGCAGTGCTTAGTCTCTAGCCTGACGCTCTGTCGAGTTTCTCGTGTTCCGTTGTTTTCGTTCCACAAATTCTTCTGTCTGAAAATCCTCAGCTGCCCTAGTTTGCTGATTGGCTATTCACTCTCCGGTTCCCGTGAACGATATTCGTAAGGCTGGCTGTGGTCGTGCGCGTCGACTTGCCCAGTCTGCATCCCCCCTCCCCTTCCATGAGATGGCGAGAATAAAGGAAGGCTCGCGAGACCACGTGACATTTTGGTTGTGTGTTGTTGCCACGCAAATTATCAGTGCGTTGTGGTCAGACGCCGGGGTACTGGCTCTCGTGGATGATACTTAGCACCCATGGGGTGGCAATAATATGGTAAACCCATGAGTTTTCTTCCTTCCCCCGTCGATAAGAGCCTGGTCCGGTGAGAACCCAGCATGCTCCGTCCCGGCTTTATAGGGATGCGAGGTCAATGGTCTAACGACTACGGCATGCACGACTATGAGTACACCTTCCCCCCCGTCGATACTTACGCATCATGCGTAAGTTCAACAACAGGTGAACAGTTGCATAACCCTAGTGTGAGTATCACACCCTAGGCACGGGGCGTAGGAGGGTTGTGCTTGCAGTTGTGTCCGACATACATGGAACAGGTCAGGCTTTTCCAGCAAGGGAGATGGATGGTCTAAAAAATACATTTTGGCAACAAGCAAGAAGCACACGGTGCTACCTCTCGTCACACACCGTCTCAACACGCTCCACCTGCATTCTATGCACACGAATCCAACGAGGCTAAATGTGTACCCCAAGTACCTCAAGACACACCAGCTTGTACTTGATGCGATGTACGATCATCTCGAATCAGCCACAATTAACCAGGAACGTCCGATTCACGGCCAAAAGCCTGCACAACGCCGTACAATAAATTACCCGAAAAAAAAAACGCCCACGTTGCCATTCTTGGGGAGGGTCATGGCGCGCCAGGCCGCTCAACAACGTCCAGTCCTCCTGTCGCGTTCGCACGCCACGAAAACAACAACACTTCACCCTAATTGCCAATAGGTGATACCTTGGGAACCAACCGCGAGAGTGCTAGCTCGGAAAATACCAACAGCTGTACCCCCTGTTTTACCTCAACAATATCCTTCCATCACAAAACACATCGGCGCACGCGCCCACTGTGCTCCATCTGCTCCATTTAAAAGCGGCGTCAAAAAAGGTTCAGGTGCTCCAGACCTGCTTCTATATCTATAGACCAGCTATCGCCAAACTGGCATCATCATCAAACACGAATCAAGAAGTCTACGAGAGTCGAGGTAGTTCTCGTGCCTGCTGCCCGCCCGCTCGTCATTCTTAATCGACCAGGTGCTTGCTGGATGTGAACGCCTGTTGAGTTGAGACCGCGACACACACAAACAAGATGAAAAACGGACGAGAAAGTCGGGGGGAGAGCATGTTGAGTGTCAAGTCGAATGCCTAGCACATCGCGGTCGGTCACAAGGGAAAAAAATCTGAGAGCAAGCTTCGTTCGGTGTTTGTTTTGTGCAAGCAGAGCACACCCTGCGGCGATAACACGAGAAACCTGGACACAGCAGTAGTAGTGTTCCCACCACAGAACCTTTTCTGTAGACCGACGACTGTATGGGGATACTATTTCCCAAGGTGCTATAGATGGCCGCTGTGCGGTTCCTTACCCGGGCTCAAATGATCTTCCAAGATTTCTCAAGTTTTACATAATGCAAGATTTTTCAGAATGTTTTCAAAGTTCTTCAGCGCGGGTGCTACCTGTACACCCGAGGCAGCGACAGCGGCCGGCAACGGAAGCAATTGCGTACACCCAACAGCACGAGAATGGAAAAAATGTCGCGAGATGGACACAAAAGAGGGTGACACATATCCACGCCTACACAAGAAACTCACGTCTGTCTGTGTCTTCCACCTCCGGAGGCATCTTAGTGCTGGGCCTGCGCGACAGCGGACGCGGCATCGCGGTCGGGATCGGTTGGGTTAGGGTGGATGGTGCAATTGCGTGCGAGGCAGAGGACTCACGAAAACGGTGTGGCCAGAAAAGACCGCAGAGGATGGCGAGCCTGGGTCAAGTGGTGAATCGGCGTGATCGATCAGCCCAAAACCACAACGAATACAAAGAACAATATACTTGGAACAGTGCGTGAGAAGAAAACAATAACGACAGAGATAGATTCGTTGTGTCATACTTCCAAGTAGCAAGAAAAAAATTAGGAGCAAAAGGGAGTCGCTAAATATACCCGGGGAACCGTAGACAACAGGTTGGTCATCGCAACACAACAAAACGCTTTGCTAAATCTATCCCATACTCGATTATCTGTGGGGAAGACATGCACTTCTGAATAATCGTGACAAAGCAAAAATACAGACAGCAAGCACCAATCGACCACGCTACCAAACCCCTTTTCTACCGAGAAAAACACAGAACGAAAACCAAGGGAAAACATGCTCCATCCTCAATTCTATGATGTACGGCCCCTGCAACAACTCACCGGCTTGAGCCCCGGGGGCGCCTTGGGCATCGCGGACGAGTGGTGCTCGATCATGACCCACTTGCCGTTCTCCCTTCGGTAGGCAAACGTGAAGCGCGCCCGCGTCTCGGTCATGGCCCCGTCAGCTCCCGCCCAGGCGAACGTGTAGGCACCCGCATGGATGGCGAAGTCTCCGTGGATGCGCGGGGGAGCCGGGTCGTACGCGACCATGGAGAGCTTGGGCATGCGGGCGAAGAAGTCCTGTGGGGGGGGGGAAACAAGGGCCAGAGGTGGGTAGTCAAGGGTTTGTTTCACAATCTTGTGGGTGTATTTCAAGCTTGGAAATGTTGGTTGGATTTTGGAACCGAGCGTCGGTATGTAGATCGCTGGGCTTGTGCCAGCAGCGAGCGGTGTAGAAACCAAACATTCCCCTGCCTGCCCGAGGGGCCGTCAACCAACAAGATGTTGAGAGAAATATCAACGGGTCAAAGAAAACGATCGACGCCATGACGCTACATGTATTGAGCACAAATACAGACAACGCAACACGCACACACCACCTCACGCGATGGTTGTTGCCACCGTTGCTGCTGAACAAAATAGCCTTCAAAACTCCCACTTACAAAGTAGTCGTAGACGTGCGCGGGCGTGTTGCGGACCTCCTCCGAGACCGTTCCCCAGAACAGCGCGTCGTCAGCGTAGATGGCGGCGGTCTTCTTGGGCGCGTCCTCGGTGTTGGCGGTCACGTTGTCCCTCCAGTTCCTAGTCGCGGCGTCGACGGCCTTCTGGTCTGTTCACCCGACACGACACCAGCAACACCAAAATGTAGAGGCACTGGCATATGTATGTGAGATGATGGTTCGCCTCACATCACCCAAGAGAACACAAAATTGTAAACTACGTACAACGTGAGAGAGATCGGACCCATTGATACGAACGTTCACATCAGATCACCCGACACGGAAGAATAAAATGGGGGGCACCAACAAAATGGCGTGCTACACGTAGCTTTTCGGGAAGCAAACTTACAAAAGATTACCACAATATTGTTGAAATGGTCGAAACGATTCGCTTCGCTAGTAGGGAGCCCGCGGCGAGAACACGCCATCTCTACAGCACCAGCACCATGCAACAGCAAATGAGGCTGGAGCGAAGGCTACCGGTTGACTCACCAGCGGTGTAGTTGGCCGCGTAGTCGGCCTGAACAGGTCCACGCGAAGTCCGGTGATTGCAAGCGCGTCGTGCACGACGAATCACCACGTTCAGGGGAACAGAGCGAGCGGATTGGGGAGTGGTTAAATTGCCGTTTTGCCGAACTCACGCGGCTAGATCGCACTGCGAAGCAACGCGCTTGATATCCCATTTTATTTATAGTTTTAGTAACAACACATATTAACACAGATGCGTTAAGATGGAGTTTAGCTGGAACGATCAGGGAGGAGACAACTCTGAATGTACAGGTGCATGGTGGATGACTTCGCGGCCGTACGCGTGCGACCAAACGGCAGCACCTACCAGCGCCCGCGTGTGACAGGGGGTAAAGCAGTGTTGAGAAAAGTGCAAGGCACTGCTGTGTGGGAGCGCGCACATGATGATGGAACACGACACGACCCGAACAAAAAAAAGACTGTGACGGCGCCAAGAGGCCCGAGAGAGAACATCCCACACATGTTTATGTATGCGCTGGATATTTTGGCGAATCGAGAGGTGCGGTGAAAGCGATCCTAGCAGACGAAAGGGTTGCGCGGGGGATATCGGAATTCATTGCAAGGCACTTGGGCGTGTGCTTGTCCTTGAGTAGCGTTCAAGAAAGTACCACTGTGCGCCTCGACATGACCCATCAATTTTAGCCGACGTAACTCCAGGCCCCTTCAGAAATATGCCGCAGGGTGGTCCAAGAGTCTAAAATATCCCGCATGGTTAAAAAACATGCATACGTCTACATGCGCACTGGGCACGAGACAGAACAATCACACACACAGAAAAGATAACAGCGCTCCCAGACACGCCGCCAGAGTTGGCACACATCACCTCACCTGTCCAGACATCTGCCTAACCGGGAGCTTCACAGCGGCAAGCCTGGTCGCCGCCTGGGTGAAGGTGAGGCCAGACCTCGTCGACAGCAGAGCGTTTATTGAGCCGGCGGCCCGGACGCTGCTCTGGAT